TCACATTTACAGCGGTCAAAAGCATTTACAAAAAAACCGCCAGAGTTGGCAATCATATAAAATGAAACCAATCCCGCTGTGATTCATAGAAATAACTAATTTACTGCATTGAGTTCATTGTTATAACCATGTCGATTTACATGAGTGTCCGATTCATTGTACCAAATTTAAACCTTGACTGTTCTCCAGAAAGCAATAGCTGACATATATCATATTTTACATTTTAATACAACTGAAAAGATAATAAATGTTTTAATATAAAGTTGACGTAGTTATAAATGTTTTCAGCGTAAAATCAAAGCACAACCATATAATTAAAAACATTACGCTGGGATTCCAACTGGATACAACTGACGAGTTGTATTTAGGTGGCCTAAAGTGCTGCTTATTTTTTCGTGAAGCCACTCAGTAAAATTACGATTTCTCTCAACCCTGATGTTCAATCAACATCATTCGAGTATCTATATGTTCCTGACACGTTCGGGCATCCGGTTATGACAACGTCTACCCAATGTTTGCACGAGAAATTGACGTAATTCATGACTGAAATCGGGAAGACAAAAATATGTGATATTCTTTCAGAATTGTTTATAATAACTATTTACAAAAACGTTCCCGAGACACAATCCATTTAGGTAGGGTTTGTTTTAAGGTCTCATGATTTTTTCAGAATATGTGTCCAATATATTGCTCTAAATGACACAATCTTTGAAATTTTAAAAAATCGTCTGAAACAATAATGGCTGTAGTAAAAAGGAAAATAGATCGATTTTCAATTCAGTTTTTTTCAATTTTTTCTTTTTCTAAGAATGATATCAATTTTTTTTGAATTGTATCATTTAGAGCAATATATTGGGCACATTTTCTGAAAAAGTCAAAATATTCTGTTCGGTGACCTTTCCTGAGCACCTACTCTTAGCTATTTTTTAGTCACATTTTCAGAGGGCTGAAAAGGTTATTCTATCATGTTTATGGTCATTCTGACCATTTCAACTGTGTTCCTGGTCATGTAAATGATATGTGGAACTAGTTAAACTGACTGGAGGTCCAAACAGAACTCTGTTATCTTGGTTCAAAAAATTTTCAAAATCCAGCATGGCTTTGTCATTTCTTGTTTTGTCACTTCCTGTTAACTTCCATGAGACCTTAAAGTCGAAAAGCCCCAATAAGACAATACAAACCCAGATTAAACCCAGTAGAATGCAGATTTCATGTAATGATTTACGTTCATGTAAACAAGGAAAGTACATATAATCCCCATATAAAACACTGGCCTACGTGACATGTAAACACAGGTTCAAATTGAAATATAGAAAATTTTCAACATAGCATTTGCTTCTGTGTTCTGTATGCCCCTCTACCTGCTAATAAGGCAATGTATCTTCAAATAAAACCTTAGCCAAGTAGATAAGGGTCTCTGGAACACTTTTGTAAATACCTGTAGTTTTCACAAGCAATTTTATTCCCGGACGCCCAAACGTGTCAGGAACACATATATATTTGAATGATCTTGATTGGACATCAGGTTGCAGAGAAATCGTATTTTTACTGAGTGGATTATTGAATTTCATAGATCTAGAGGCCCTTCAGGAGTGGAAAAGCTTAAATTATCAGAGATTAATGTTTCCAAACTGTTTTGAAACAAACTAACGTCTTGTTTTCAACCTACACCTTGCTCCTTTCTGTCGTATTTAATAAAACAAAAATAGTATATCACGGAGGGATACGAACCACTCACCTGAGACTTGGTTATTCACTAGCGACATAGGCGTTCTACTATTCTGGATACAACTGACGAGTCGTATTTAAGTGGAGACAAAAGTGAGGATCATTTTGAATTGACGCTCGGTATAAATATATAATACTTTTTTTCTTTCATATCGGTAGCTCGTTGGCCTAATGGTTAGCGTGCCTGGCTTCCATAGTCTAGGTTAGTTGATCGAGACCCGTTCATGTCGAACTTTTTGATTTGCTTGTTGTCAAGATATAATAAGTAGGGCAAAATCCAGAAAAAGTAGATCAAAAATACTCCAATGGAGTATAAAATTGTCACCAGGATTCCGGAATGAGACGAATGTTAACTCGTGAAATCTCGGTAGATAAGGTAGGTCAGAAAATCCGGATTAATCCGAACAAGGTTCGGGAATTTCCGTCATAAGAAGTAGGTCAAAAATACTCCAATGGAGTATAAAATTGTCACCAGGATTCCGAAATACGACGAATCGAATCGGCAAACTTCGGTACAATAATGAAGTGCATAAAAATCGTGAAACAGGTGTCAGGGGCTTCCCTTCATCTTTCCATAAATTGTTCTAAAAGCCTTATATGGATCTATCACGTGACATTCAAAATGACGTTCCTATATGGTTCTAGGGGCCTTATATGGATCTTTCGAACACGTGACCAAATCAAAATCAAAATCAAAATTTTACCTTGACCATTGGATGGGATTTCATAGAAAATATCAAAGAAAACATATTCTCGTGATCCTTAAATCACTTAAATTCGATCATTTTATCTTCACCCCTTGATGGAATTTTATGAAAGAAGTTATGAAAACACATCATCATGTAAGGGTTTTCACCTAAATTAGCTCGTTTTATCTTGACCCTTCAATTGAATTTCATTGAAAAATGTTTCATGAAAAATATCATGTTATGATTTGTATTTAAATAAGACCGTTTCATTTAAATACTTGCTGGATAATATTTCATTAAAAAACGCACTTTAAAAATATTTCAGGATTTGCCTTAATTTATCAATGTAATGTAAGTATTAGATTGACTCTCAAATAGGGTTATATTTTAACTTTTTTATTGAAATTAATACTAGGCAGGACTCACTCTCTAAATAGCTAATAAAAATTCAACCCTTGGATGTGATTTCGTTGAAAAAAAAATATGACAAGTCCAGAATCAAATGATTTGTCCAGAACCTCTTAAGATCCTGTTAATTGCATCCGGCGAACAAACTACCATTGATGACCCTCCTACATACACATTTTTGAATGGACAAGTTTATTTCAAAAACAGCTTCTACTGGGGCTTACTATCCATCCTCCTGATAAAGCGTGACAGCATCCATTGCATTCTGAAAACGCGTTGCCCGTGGCAATGAGCAAACATGGAATCATCGATTGATATGAAGAAGACTGGGGACGTGCTATCACAAGTACCATTATATTTAAGTTCTCACTAAGCTTTGGAGATCACTAGGCACCAGAAGGGGTATTCAAAGAGATAGCCAATTGTTTCAACAAGACGGCGCCACCTCTACACTGCAAATAATGTGTTGAATGGCTTAGGCAATGCTTGTGTGGTCAGTTCATCAGCCGCAGAACGTAAAACATTGGCAGCTCATTCACCAGATCTCAATCCCCCAGATTTTTATCTGTGAGGATATCTCAAAGACAATGTGTTTGCTGACTGACAATTTGTTGATCTCAGTGGGCCAATAACTCTAAAAATTAGTGCCATCCATGTTGATGTGTGTAGGAGGATCATCAACAACTTTGTTCGCTGAATTCAATTGCGCATAGAGAGGAGAGGTGTCCACGTACTTAGAGCATGTTTTGTATAGAACTGTAGTTTTCGACTCAATATAGATTATCGTCAAACTTTTACAACAAATTTCACATTGAATCAACTAAATAATTCTGTAATTTCAAGGCAGAATATGCAAAATTGATTACTCTAAAACAAATCGTATTATGTTTTACTCTAAATGAGGTATAATTGAAGCCAATCTAACTAAATCTAAATGAGATATTTAAGCAAATATTACTATGCCTTACTCTGAATTAGGTGTTATTGAAGCCTATCTTACTATAACGTATGCCTCCGTCACATTTGTTCTACGGCAGCCGTACGGCGACCGTAGCTTCTCAAAATTTTGAGAAATATCCAGCATTAAATATTGAACTCTATATCGATTCTCCGAAGCTACGGCCGCCGTACGCTCGCCGTAGAGCAAATCTGGCTGAGGCTTCAATGTTATTGAGGTGTCATTGAAGGTGTCAAAAAGGCTCGAGCCAATTAGTATACAAACTCCCTCCTTTAAAACTGCTACTCGCTATTGCTATAAAAATCGTCAATGACATCATGGTAGTGCATGGGGATTCCCCTCAATAAAACATTTCAGTTTCCTTTTGAATTTTTGCAATTCAAATATGTAACCTAGGTAAACAGTGAACACTCTATGCATACTGTGCTATACAAAAACTAGCGGTGCGGATATCATGTGCGCAAAGTGCAGATATTAATGGTCATTTTTTAATTTGAATCCGTGATATTTAACAAATTAAGGCATGTTGGGTACTCAATTATATTAATACATGTGAATACGTTCCCCAATAAAAAATTGTGCAAATAGGTGAGTATGTCATTCTATAACGACACGTCAAGCAACAATACTCTCTCCAAATAATTTGAAATTGCAGCTGTTCCACAGCGTAAACAACATTCATTGAATAATCGAGATGGCCTATCAATACGTATATATACAAATTGTATATGCATTTTGAAAGTTGAAAGGTAACTGTGTGATTTTATACAAAATGGGTAACATTAAACGAAATTGTGCTACCTCTAAACAAGCGGTGCGAATATACGTAAAGTGACGATATCCGCACATATCCGATAAATGTTTTCAATTTTTAAAGATTCACACAGAATGTTGATGACTTTCAAAATGCAAAAAAAAGATTTATATCTATGGGTCATCTCGATCACCAAAACTGAATGAAGGCTGTAAATTGTGTATTAAAGCAGCAATTTCAAATTCTTTGCTATGGCGAGGGGATGAATGCTTATATAATGCGTCGTTAAAGAATGAAGAATACTGCTATAGACAAAACTTCCCTTTTATTACAAATGGGTGACTATAATTGGGTACTTAAAAATGACCGTAAATATACGCACCCTGCGCACATGATATCCGCACCGCTTGTTTTCGTATAGCACAGTCTGTATAGGGTGGTGTATGAGTCATAACATTTTGAGCAACGACAAGTCAGAGTGGATATTGAAGCATGTTGGCGCTCAGCGTTTTTATCATATCCTGTTTTCCCGTCAATGGTTTCCTGGAAGAAAATATGGTATCAGGGATAGCCACACAACATGAAAACTATGTACCATTGAAGACTATACCTGAGATAGAGAAAAGCGAAGCTACATCAGACGCAACTTTGCATAATGATCTCATCCAGGGTGAGTCACATCAAATCGCATTTGGAAATGAGAACAATGGTGCTTTATCAAAAGCTACCGATACATCGGCTGGATCCAACCATCATGGACCTGACGGTCACAAGTTTAAATGCAAATTTGAAATTCCGACCGAGTCGCAAAAACGATTTATAGAACTCACCGATAAAGAAAAGAAAAACTTCATCTATGTGCACCTGAACTTTTCGACGAAACCAAAGTTACCAAGCAGGCGAGCAAGAGAGAGCTTATTCTTCCCAGGGTATCTAACGTGGACGTTTAAAGGGAGGCCAGGGGCGGGTTATCCACTGCTCTCGTACCCATACAACTACGATACCCTATCACTTGGATTCTTATACTGGCATGTCAGGGAGAACTTCACAATGAGTATGTACTTTTGCTATTGTAATTGCTATTTGCTAGAATTAACACTCAGTCACATTTGCTACTGCAACCGTACGGTCTATCGTTTCTGCGGCCATAAACATTCCTACGGTCGCCTTAGAATTTGTGCGATCGGATGATTTAGAAGGTACAATTGCTACGGCAGCCGCACGGCGTATTTTGAATTTGTTTACATAAAAAAACTATACTGTCGTACGGCCTTTTAAATGATGACGCACGGTCAACGTTTAGTCGAGAAAAATGGATAACCAGTCTGGTTCGTTTGATTTTGGCCTTGATTTTGGTAATTTAGGGCCTATCAAGACTCGACGTCAAAATATTCAAAGATTCTTTTAAAATAAAAATGAATGCATGGTTGTTTTGAAATACTTGGTTTATAAAAACTTGAAAACTAGTCTAAAAATGTATTTGGGATAAATTGAACAAAAGTTATGTTTTTTTCATTATATCATTTTAATCCACGAGTTGATATCAATATCTGTACGAGTGAGCGTACTCTGCGGCCTATAAAACGGTATAGGCCGAACGTAGACCGTATTACGACCGTAGTTCCTACCGTTGCCATAGAAATATACCGATTTCCATGACCTACGGTCGACATGCGGTCGCCGCAGAGCAAATGTGATCCTGAGTCATAAGGTTCACTTTCGTTTTCTTTACATTTGTTCAGTTATATGTGTCAAAGGTTTTCTCGCGAATAAACAAAAGTCTAGTATTCTTTGTACCGTAAGTAAACGCAATCAAAAACAGTCAGGGTACTACCCTTAACCCTAGAAGCCCTAAGGGGGGGGGGTCAAGATGACCCCCCTTGTTAAGTTTTTTCCCTATAACTTTTTATTGGTATCTGCTTGGATCTTCAAATTTTCAGTTGCTGGAGCTACAGATATAACAAATGTTTTCTGAAAAAATCAGCTCATAGGATAATTGATTTATTATGATGTAATCATCAGCTCCAATAGACAAAATCGGAAAAAGCTAGCACTATTTCTACAATACTGTTGTCTTTAGAATAAAATTACGCAATCTTACATCATCAAAGTTGTTAGTGTTATTACACCAAGTTGTACAGAATTAAATGAAGAATATTTTGGGAAAGTTTGAACACCCTAGCTGTACTAGTTTGTTATTAATTTATTACGATGTAATCATCAGCTCCAATTGACAAAATCAGAAAAAAGCTAGCACTAATTCTACCATACATGTTGTCTTTAGAATAAAATTACGCAATCTTACATCATCATGGTTGTTAAAGGTATTACACCAAGTTGTAGAGAATTGAATGAAGTATATTTGGGGAAAGTTTGAACATCCTAGCTCTACTAATAAAAAGAATAATATTACAACTGGATATCAAGCTCACGCCCGATGATTGGTAGAAATTAACGGAGGGGGAATAGCTGATTTTCGCTAGAAAAATAAACAATCCGGACGATTTTTAAGAGAAAGTTTACAATTGAATCGCTAATTAAATAGGCGCAGACACGGGAAGTATAGTGTTAGGTTTTCTAGGATTTTTTGATTTGATGGGCTTCTAGATATAAGAACTATTAAAAAGGCGCATCGTCACCAACGTGCAAATGTTAATGTTTTGCTATTAATCAAGCAAGAATGGTCTCCACGACCTGTTTTAAGCCCTTTACGTGATGTTATCAAAAAACTATTGTCAATGTTGGTTTTGTAAAAAATAATCGAAAATAATTAAAATTGAACGGAGGGGGAGTAAACGGAGCGGGGTTGTTACTGAGTTACTGAGTTCATTTTTCAAATACACGAATTCGCCGAAATTTCTTCCACATTAAAACATATTACTCCTCCCTCCGTTCACCCCCCCCCCCGTTCAATTTAAACAATTTTCGATTGTTTTTTCTAACGCATGGCAACTTAATTTTGAAAACCAGCAATGACGTTAATTTTGTGATAATAACGTCACTTATAAGTATTAATATCTATTTATTATTACAGGTCGTGTAGACCATTGATAGCAACAACATTGACATTTGCACGTTGGTGACGCTGCGCCTTTTTTAATAGTTCTTATATCTTAGAAGCCCATCAGTTATAAAATCCTAGAAGACCTTACATATTTCCCCGTGTCGTGCGGCTATTCAATTAGCGATTCAATTGTAAAATTTCTCTTAAAAATTAAATCTTCCAGATTGTTGAATTTTCTAGCGAAAATCAGCTACTCCCTCCCCCCTTAACCAGCTTAAAAGGCTTGCCATCCATTGAGCCTATTGCTACTCTTGCTTCAAGACTGTAGACCTCCCCTTGCCTACTTCACCAACAGGGAGGTGTGTAGTTGATAGGAAGGGGGGGGGGGTCACAAGGGCTTGTAGCTAGACTAGTGTATACTTTTGCTTGTTTGGTAAAATTTACTAAGCTATTTTCTCTGCAGTCGGAGGGTCAATAAATCTAAATCATTCGGGTACTTTTGAGATATGGTGTTGAGTGAGTGAGCACATCAGTTTTTAAAACTGAAATATATGGGTATCAGTAGATTTCAAAACAATGACGTTTTGCTTTTCAAGGACGAAAAATGTTAGTTTATTATTTATTCATATCAAAATTATGAAGGTAAAGGTCAATTTCTGTTTATACCACTTGTATATCGATTTCCACACATTACTTTTTGTAATTTTTCTTTTGGCCTTTAATTAGTTTCTACAATTTTTTCTTTTAGATACTGACGTGATGCCAAATTCAGGGCGAACATGGAGCTTTTATATGCGACTAAATTTTAACTCGGCTTTGGGTAATTTTATATGATGTTGTCATTTCTGCTTGTAGATGTTAAGGTGAAGCCAAAAGGTTGTAACTCCACATGGGGCGAACATAGCATGATGCTGTCTCTCCTCTACACTGTTAGGAATCTGAGTGCTAAAATAGAGTACAACAACTCTGCAGTTTGGTGTTACTCGTTGAGATACAAGCCAAGCAAGTTCGAAAAATGGTTGAACCACGTCACGGGTGTTAATCGCAATTCGAACGGCTTCCAGTGCAGTGAACCAGAACATCCACACAAATACGGTGAAGAGATCAGACAAACGAGATTGCTGTTGGTACTGCAAGTTATTGGATGTGTGTTGTTCTCATATGCTCCATTATTACTCTATATGTTTGACGAGGGACGTACGTATTCCAGCTCATTAGCTCCGGAGAAAGATATGAAAATGGGGTATGAACATTTAGATGGATCCGTTGAAGGGGGAGATAAAGATGATGCGGCTAATGGGAAAGAGGTTGGCGAAGATGAGGCCAGTGGGGAATATTTATATCTTGGTGAAGATGCCCCAATCACATTTTTCAGTTTGTTAAAAACAATGTTTGTCTCAACAACACGTTCGAATTCAGTAACAGTACAGAGAATCAAGAAAGGTTTATCTATTCTCCTTCTAACCCCGTCTCTCATAGTACTCGACACAGCCATAACATTTATGTATAAGCACAAAGCTCTCTATATACGAATTATGTCCGACGTACCTATAGGGTTTCATGCCATTCCATTTGGGTATGAGCTCAGCAGTAGAAATTGGTTGTACTTTCTTGGTGGGCCGTACGTCATATACAGCGTATACTTTTTCCTTGCTATTCTACTCGTATGCCTTCCTGTTAATCTATGTGAAGTGGTGGCTTTACAAATAGAAAAGAATGACAAGTCAGGTTGCATGTTATTCATGACCTCTGACATCATAGAGAATTTGGGTGGAGTAAAATATTCTAAGCTACCAGTATCATATAAAAAGTTGTCCAAAGCGTTCACTGCTCGTCTTTACACTCTGTTGCACTACAAATTTTGGGTACTGTTGAAAAATGTGTGGATCAAGCGCATCAAGGCTGTCAGATGCAAGTTTGGTGGACCATTCAGGGGGTCTTTGAAAAAATGCGTTTGTTTTACAATTTTCTTGCCTGTTTGGTTGGTTCTATTCGTACTTTTCGTGTTGGATATCGTATGCTGTATAGCGTACTTTGGTGTCCCTATTGTTTTCTTCATCAAAACGGTAGTTCAAAATTACATTCGATACGTACTTGATAGGTTTCTATATACCGACAAGAGAGGCCAATTTCTAGCTAGGGACAGTGTTTGTTGTGGAATAACTGCTTGGATTATTCGTATCATTCTTTTTGTGGTCTTTGCGTTTGTGTTTTTCTGTGCCATCACCATGTATACCGTCTCAGTGGTCTTTGTCACCAATACATTTGCATTCACCATCATTGGCATAATTGCCTTTCCAGAGGAGGCCGTAATGTACTGTATTGGAACAGGTATCGTTATCATGTACATTTACAAAACCGTGAGGGGTTTCAATGATGGTTACAATGATTTATTGCTGTATACAATTACTCTATCTGATGATTTAAATACACAGCAGAAAACGAGATCTACAGATAAAGAACCTGTGAAATATATAATTCACCAATCAGATGGTTCAGAAATTTCAGGGGTTCCAGCACATGTTTATTACAGCCTGGTCGAGTCTTTCAGACCTTTGAGGAGGCAAGTGTTCCTCACACTTATCTACCTTGGCCTCATTGCAGCGTTCATGTACGTATGCATACACGTCATACAGTCATACAACAGAGAGGCTCAACTCTCAGTTCTTGTTAAGACTGTCGCAACTGTGATTGCCGGGATTCTACCACATCTGGTCCAATTATGCTGGGGGTCAGTGAACCAGGATGCAAAAAACATGAGATACAAGCTCCAGATCAAGTCAAACATAAAGGCACATTGGCATAAACAAAACATTCAAGATGAAGAGCTAATAATAAACTGATGAACCAACAACATACAACGATATACCTAAAACATGATTCATACGGCTTCACAATACAGCTTACAGATGTTTTAATTTAAAAATATTCGTTATCATAACGACATATTTCACTACAGAGATACTAGATAGATGCTAGATGATGATAGATGGTTCCAGGGACAATGCAATGATTATTGCATAATGCTAAAAAGCAATCAATGGAACACACATTTCGTATTAGGTGTGGCTAAGTTAAAGGGGGAGGGGGATACGGCATGTTGTTTTTCAATTAATCGTGGTTTGACTGCATTACTTCATTAGAAATGAACTAAAGTTTTGTTTTTAAACATGCTTCTATTTGTCTATTTAAAATTTCATTGTTATCCACTGGTTGCTTACTTTAGTAAAACAATCCGCATAATGAAATTCGCTATTGTCATATTAATCCAATGGGTACGATCGCGAACTATTTTGATATGTATATTTGTTGGCAGCATGTAAATATGTGGGGTTTTCGTAAAACACCGACCGCCGACCACCGACCACCGACCAGTCACTCTCCACAGTTGGGTACATGTGGTCGGTGGTCGGCTGACGGTCTTTTACATAAAGATGAAAATGCAAAATTAGAAGTAAAACTAAAACTGGGAATCCAATGACTATAGTACCTTTACTAGGTCGTGATTTAAAAACGTATAATTATCATTTCAAATCACGATGAAAACGTTACATCGTCGCGGTGTGTGATGTCATATTTTTAAGTCATAGATCCCGGCCAGATTCTTTTGTAGTAGGATCAGTAGCTCAATAATTATTCTTTGAGCCTATGCGATCCTACTACAAAACGATCTGGCCAATATCTGTGTTTTAAGTGATGTTTCAGTTGTTAGAAGACCAATTTCATCCTGGTTAGTCACTTTGGAAAAAAACGCACGTAACATTGCATTAAGTTCATTCTTCATTCATATGAAACGCAATAACAAAAACACACAAACATCGTCGATGTTGACGTCGTAACGTTATGTTTGATTTCTCAGTTGTTAAACGTCAACTGGTAAAAACTACATTTGATATGACAAAAAAAGCTTTCTAATGGTCTGAAATGGTAAGTCACTTTTAATCCCGATAAGAGAACGCATGTAACATCGTGTTCAGTATTCAGTAGGCTATGACGATAACAAATCATTTTTGTTTCGAAATTGTTAAATTTCAGTAAAAAATTAGGATAGATTCCCGTAGAAACGATAGGTTGGTTAATGATAGGTTAGGACCTAAGGCAGGGCAATTAATCGAGAGGAGACGGTCATGACCAATTTGTTTGCTTGCCATTCGTTGCAAGGTACAAAATCGGTAAAAAACGTTGCCTAGTCCAACGATTGACATCCAAAATCAAATTATTAATATTCTAAGGCTACAAATATGTTCGGTCTTTTACATGATATGGTCGGTCTTTTACACATTTTCTTCAAACCCTGTTTTGAGGCTACCAGTGGAAAACACCGACCGGTCGGTGGTCGGTGGGGTCGGTCTTTTCCGAAAACCCAAATATGTGTTCAGAATATGAAAATAACATACTAACTTGTACTGGCGAAACATTTGTAAATAAAAACTAAGTGATGCGATATCAAATTATAGTGTTATTCTATTTGAAAATTAAACTACTCTTCACTCACTTTAAAGTGAATGTGACAAGAATATGCTTTTGCAGAACCAAGGCCATTTTTATTAATAAAATTTGTTTAATGTTACATATTAGAAATAAATACTTGTAGCAGATTTGTTTACCGAATCTTCGGACAATTGCAGACCAATTTATGCCAGTAGATTAACACTTTCTAAAGATCTCCAACAACGATTTTATATCTTATATTTGGAATGGTGCTGGTCATATTAACCCAGGTTGTGATTTCGCAATGTTTCTTTCTCTTTTATATTTCATACATTTTCAAAAAATTAATATATGCCCTTTGCCATCGTGTGCACATATTTACCACAATTTCACTCAAGATAAGGTGTCATTAAAATCAATTAAGCTGGATTTTATTTAGACGAGGCATACTATTTTAGGCTTATTCAGAGGTATCATTGAATCCCTTCCTACGATGATCTTACTTTAAATTAGGTTTGAATAGAGCCAATCTTACTGTGAAGTACTCTAGATAAGGTATTCTGTCTTACTATGAATGAGGTATAGGTATCATTGAAGCCAATTTTATACCTTACACTAAATGAGGTGTCATTGAAGCGAAACTTACTCTACCTTACTCTAAATGAGGTTCATCAAAGCCAACCTTACTATGCTTTACTTTAAATGAGGTGTCATTGAAGCTCATCTCACTATGCCTTACACTAAATGAGGTGTCATTGAAGCTAATCTTACTAAGCCTTCCACTAAATGAGGTTTCATTCAATGCAATCTTACTCTGTACACCAAATGAGGTGTCATTAAAGCCAACCATACTATGCCTTACTATAAATGAGGTGTCATTGAAGCCAATCTCATTATGCCTTACAGTAAATGAGGGTTCAGTGTTATGTCATTTTCACGGGGATAAAAAGCCACCATTTTAATGAACATATACGATCATAATTTCAACTGACCGATTCTTAAGACTTTTAAAGGGTGACGCATATCGTTTAGCAAATCGAACGCTCGTTTCTGGTGTTGCTCACCGTTTAGTATAAAAGGCCCGATCCCGGAATAATACTCAAGGGTTCACAGGCTCGAGGTCGTTGTGTCAACACCTCTAACTGTTATATAGCATAAGTATATTATAGATCGTCACACATTTATAAAAGGGTGATTTTTATTTTGACAAATCAATTCCACATTTATCGGTGAAGTTTCAGGATCTTCTATTTGTGTATAATAAGGAAAAATTGACATCTAAATTTCCCCATAACGTAATAGCACACAGCTTGGCATATGAAATATCCTACAAATGAAACAAAGCAGTTCTAATACAAGGATTTATATTGGCTGTTGTACATATTCTTTGAACGCAATCACTCTATTGATAATGTTTTCAAAATCATTATAAATGGATTACTTTATCTCAAAGACAATTTAAACTGGATTTTACAGAACTCCCCTTATTTCTTAAAAATGGACTGATCCAGGAGCCGCCATATTGTTCTTATACGGGAAGCTTATCGGAACCCTTTAACAAAATAGTTATTTGTTCAGTTATTGCTATAAAATTCGTAAATCAGTAATGCATAGGGATTCTCTTAAATGAAATATTTCAGTTTCATTTTGATTTATTGCAATTCAAACGTATCCCGGATCAACAGTGTTTGAGTCAATCATTTCGAGGAAGTATTTATTAATCAACGATCAATGTGGATAGTGAAGCATGTTGGTGCTCAGCGTTTTCATCATATCATGTTTTACCGTCAATGGTTTCCTGGAAGAAAATATGGTATCAGGGATCTCGACACAACATAAAAAACATGAACCATTGGAGAATACACATGAGATAAAGAAAAACGAAGCTACATCAGACGCAACTTTGCATAATGATCTCATCCAGGGTGAGTCACATCAAAATGCATTTGGAAATGAAAACAGTGGTGCTTTATCAAAAGCTACTGAAACATTGGCTGATTCAAACCATGATGGACCCACCAGTCGCAAGTTTAAATGCAGGTTTGAAATTCCGGCCGAGTCGCAAAAAAGATTTATAGAACTCACCGATAAGGAAAAGAAAAACTTTATTTATGTGCACTTCAACTTCTCCACGAAACCAAAGTTACCAAGCAAACGCGAAAGAGAGAGCTTATTCTTCCCAGGGTGGCTAACGTGGACGTTTAAGGGAAGGCCAGGGGCGGGTTACCCACTGCTCTCGTACCCATACAACTACGATACCCTATCACTTGGATTCTTATACTGGCATGTCAAAGAGAACTTCACAATGAGTATGGACTATTGCTATTGTAATTGCTATTTGCTTAAGTGAGGTGCACTTTCGTTTTCTTTATTTTGTTTTCTATGTATTGTGATCATTCGAATCCTGAAGTTTTCCCATGAAAAAAGTTAAAATAATATTATGTCAATACAATCAGAATCTAGCCAAGCGAAACAGTTCCTAGTGTCATCTTGTCTAGTTTGCCATTAAAAGATAATGATACCGTGGCCGCATGGATTTTTGAGATAAACGGACCTGGAGAGAGCTACCAACTCAAAGCTACCTGTTTCAGACAATTATTATGCTCTACATAGTCTGGAAAATCACTCCGCCATCCTTTCAAATTCTGTTTCAAGTCAAACTCGAAAATGTTTCCAGATATACTTACTACCCTATCGGTAGATGGCACTGCGGAGGGTCAGAAAATGAAAAAAAGCTTTTTGATACAAGAAACCAAAAGCCGCAAATATCCCTACTCAGATTGTTCTGCTTTTAATGAAACACGATTGTCTTTTCTGTGGTTCTAGAGTTTAAGCTTGCGTATGAAATTGAAACGCCAACCAAACTAATGACCAATCTCCCATACAAATGCATCGCTTACATATTTTCCGTTCACATTTAGGTTGTGAAAACATTGCAAGCTTAAGGTAACGGTAAAGTTAATCAAAAATACAAAAATGGCAGCCATATTTTTTGGTAAAGTCACAAAATTTTGTATCCGTTTTCCTTATATGTGAATGCATTTCCTGACTAAAGAGATATGTCAAAGATAACTTCACATTGAAACGCAGTTTTCATAACTATGAATTGGAGGTGCATGGGTCCCCAAAGCTAGCATTAAGGCCGTTAAATGAGACTAATTTTTGAAAGTTTCAAGGAGTAGCCTTGCAACAGTCACACATTTGCAAGAATCCAAAAATTTCCCAAAATCATCTTACCTTACCAAGAAACATCGAAATAGCATGAAAATGTGCACTTCTTGCATTGTTAGAGTATGATAAAGCTCAAACCATAGTTTCTTATAAATATTTCACGTCCATCATTTATTTTCCGGAACTACTTCTAGACTTCCTGATTAATCCTCATACAAGTTTTGTGACTTCATAAGTGGCATGGATTATCACTAGTATATTTTATGTATAACAGTATAATAATCATGATAGATACATGATTGGAACTTTATAAATGATAAACAATGGATACATGAGTGAGGATTAATTTGGACTAGAAAATAAAATGGTGGACATGAAATATTTAGAATTCACAATGGTTTGAGCTTTATTATACTCTAACAATGCAAGAAGTACACATGTTCATGCTCCTTTGATGTTGGTAAGGTAACCCCCCTATCACACCAAACTAGTTCTTACCCGTTCTTACTAGTCCTACGAAAACGTCGTAAAACGGGCTCAATCTGACTGTGATCGGGAAATATGTCTGAAATAATAAGCTTCTTCGTTCTTAAACAGTCTTCAATACGTCCATCTCGTTCGCAGTTCGTTCAGGTCGGGCCACGTCGGTGTGCAACGTAGTAGAACGCGTCCCTTAGTCTACAAGGTCAACATGACCTGATTACAGAACGGTATGGTCGCCATCGAATTTTGAATCGATTCAAAATTCTAAAATCACATTTCCGTCTGAGAACGTTCATAAAGTTCGTAAATAGACCATCGAAAGTTGAAGCTACGTTCATTCCGTTCGCACACAGTTTAAAACCAGTTTTGAAGAACGCAGTGGCAACTTGTTTGGTGTGATAGCTATATTTTTGCTAACTCGTTCATAAACAGTGTTAAATACGTTCTTAATCAGTTTAAACACGTTTGCAATTAGTTCTACCTCGTTCTCAACACGTCCTCAGACGTTCAACTCGTTGTTAAAACGTCCCTAGTAGGATTGAAGTACGACGGTTCCGTTCGTAGTACGTCCAGCTCGTCGTTAGTACGTTGTCATTCGTTCTAATTGTAGAACGTGACGACCACGAGAACATTTTGAGCATTGTCTAAGTTCTAGAGGACCTACCCGTTCGAGTACGTTCGATGAAGTTTGTAAATAGATCCCAAACGGTTCTTAGTAGGTCCAGTTCGTTCGTACACAGTTGAAGCCCGTTTTCGAGAACGTAGTGAGAACTAGTTTGGTGTGATAGTAGGGTAAGATGATTGTGGAAATATTGGAGTCTTACAAATGTGTCTCCGTTGCAATCCTACTCCTTGAAATTGACACATGCACCTCCAATTCATAGTTATAAAAATTCGTTTAAATGTGAAGTTTTCTTCGACATTCACATATAAGGAAAACAGATACAAAATCTTGTGACTTTTCAAAAAAAATATGGCTGCCATTTTTTGTACATTTGACTAACTTTACCGTTACCTTTTGACGTAATGCCACACGGTTATGTAATTTCCTGTTGGATAGATATGTCATTATGCTGTCGCTTCTTAGATATTCTGTGCTACACATGATGTTGTCATTTCTGTGCTTGTAGATGTTCAGGTGGAGCCACATGGTTGTAACTCGACATGGGGCAAACATGACATGATGCTGTCTCTCCTTTATACTGTTAGGAATCTGAGTGCTAAAATAGAGTACAACAACTCTGCAGTTTGGTGTTACTCGTTGAGATACAAGCCAAGCAAGTTCGAAAAATGGTTGAACCACGTCACGGGGGTCAATCGCAATTCAAACGGCTTTCAGTGCAGTGAACCAGAACATCCACACAGATACGGGGTAGAGATCAAACAAACGAGCTTGCTGTTGATACTACAAGTTATTGGATGTGTGTTATTCGCATATTCTCCGTTATTACTCTATATGTTTGACGAGGGACGCGTGTGTTTCAAATCATTAGCTCCGCAAAAAGAAATGAAAATGGGATATGAGCATTTAGATGGATCCGTTGAAGGGGAACATGACGATGATGAAGCTGATGAAGCTGATGGTAAAGATGTTTGCGACAGTGATGTTGGTGGGGATTATTTATATCTTGGTGAAGATGCCCCAATCACATTTTTCAGTTTGTTGAAAACAGTGTTTGTCTCAACAACACGTTCGAATTCAGTAACAGTACAGAGAATCAAGAAAGGTTTATTTATTCTCCTGTTTACCCCCTCTCTCATAGCACTTGACACAGCCGTTACATTTAGATATAAGCACTATGCTCTCTATGCACGAATTATGTCTGATATACCTATAGGGTTTCATGCCATTCCATTTGGGTATAAACTCAGCAGTAGAAATTGGTTGTACTTTCTTGGTGGGCCGTACGTCATATACAGCGTATACTTTTTCCTTGCTATTCTACTCGTATGCCTTCCTGTTAATCTATGTGAAGTGGTGGCTGCACAAATAGATAAGAATGGCAAATCAAGCTGCTTGTTATTTATAACCTCTGACATCATAGAGAAATTGGGTGGAGTGAAATATACCAAGGAACCAGTATCATACAGGAAATTGTCCAAAGCGTTCACCTCCCGTCTTTACACTCTGTTGCACTACAAATTTTGGGTACTGTTGAAAAATGTGTGGTTCAAGCGCATCAAGGTCGTCAGTCAAAAGTTTGGTGGGCCATTCAGGGGTTCTTTGAAAAAATGCCTCCGTCTAACAATTTTCCTGCCTGTTTGGTTAGTTATCTTCATAATTTTCTTGTTGGATATCGCATGCTGTATAGCGTACTTTGGTGTTCCCATTGTTTTCTTCATCAAAACGGTAGTTCAAAATTACATTCGGTACGTTCTTGATAGGTTTCTATATACCGACAAGAGAGGCCAAAGCCGCCTGCGTAAGGACAGTGTCTGTTGTTGGATAACTGCTTGGATTATTCGTATCATTCTCTTTGTGGTCTTTGCGTTTGTGTTTTTCTGTGCCATCACCATGTATACCGTCTCAGTGGTTTTGGTCACTAATACATTTGCATTCACCATCATTGGCATAATTGCCTTTCCAGAGGAAGCTGTTATGTACTGCATTGGAACAGGTATCGTTATCATGTACATTTACAAAACGGTGAGGGGTTTCAATGATGGCTACAATGATTTATTGCTGTACACAATTACTCTATCTGATGATTTAAATACAGAGCAGAAGGCAAAATCTGCGCATAACGATCCCGTGAAATATGTTACCCACCAACCAGATGGTTCAGAAATTCCAGGGGTTCCAGCACATGTTTATTATAGCCTGGTTGAGTCTTTCAGACCATTGAGGGTGCAAATGTTTCTAACACTTATCTACCTTGGCCTCATTGCAGCGTTCATGTACGTATGCATACACGTCATACAGTCATACAACAGAGAGGCTCAACTCTCAGTTCTTGTTAAGACTGTCGCAACTGTGATTGCCGGGATTCTACCACATCTGGTCCAATTATGCTGGGGATCAGTGAACCAGGATGCGAAAAACATAAGATATAAGCTCCAGATCAAATCAAACATAAAGGCACATTGGCAGCGCCATAAACAAAACATTCAAGATGAAGAGCTAATAATAAACTGATGAGCCAACAATGTTACCATATAGCTATGATTCATACGGCTTCACAATACATTATTAGCTTCCGAAAGATGTTGTGATTTAAAAATATTCGTTATCATGACGCCTTTTTTCACTATAGAAATATTTTAGATGATGACAGATCTATACAAAGAGAATGCAATGCATGGTTATTGCAGAATGCTGAAATAAGCAATCAATGGAACACACATTTCGTCGGCGTGTATACCACCTAGTGTTTTTCAACGCTTTACTGCATTATACTGAATATTCGAGATGAACTAAAGTTTGGTGTCTTTTTTTATGCTTCTATTTGTCTATTTGGAATTGCATCGTTATCCACTGGTTGCTTACTTAGTAAAACAATCCGTACCTTAAAATACCTGATTGTCGTATACTAATATTAATCCAATAGGTATGATCGCAAACTATTTTGACAACAGGGTGAGCCAAAAAAGGTAACCCAACCAAATTTTGTTAATAACTCAGTCATTAGGCATGGGTTTGTACTCATATTTGGAACGATAAAACATTGTTCAATGTCCTATCTTTTAATGATCTATCTCCAATGGTCACAATTTTATGGCCATTTACACCGACCCCCCCCCCCCCCCGTGGCCGAAACGTGCCTCACTTACTGGACATAAATCCCTCCAGATTTACTATCTATTGAGCTACTTTCTACACTAACAACCTTTGAAACATTGACACAAGAGATAGAAAAGATGATGAGAGCCATAACACAATCAAGTTGTCTTTGCTCGTGTAGTGAACAACTATGCTTAATTCGTTCAACTAAGCTTCCAGAAACGACCCCGGTATTTTACAGCATATTTTGTAAAATGACCATCAAACCGTGACCATTAGGGATAGACCCATGAAATTGATAGAATGAAAGAATATTAAAAAATGATAGTACTACATTTGACACCAAACCCATGCTGAATGACTGAGTTATTAACATTTGTTTGGGTTACCTTTTTGGCTCACCCTGTATATATTTGTTGGCAGCATGTACATATGTGCTCAGAATATTGGTAATATACTCATGTAATGGCGAAACTTTTGTAAATAAGAACTAAGTGAAATAATAGGTATTATATTATTTTTGTTATTTTATTTGACAATTAAATTACTCCACAGTCACTTTTGAATGCGACAACAATATGTTTTTACAGAGCCAATCTTGTCGAACGTTGTTGGTTTTTCAAATAAAACCTAGGAAGAGAACTCATTACATAAGGAAAGAATCGGAGGAAATGCATTTTTATCCTAAAAAATAAATAATGTTAATATCCACATTTATTATTTTTATCTGTGTCCAATACACTTGTCAATCAGAATATAACTTACTGAGAGTTACGAGAACTTACCAACACCATTTTTATTAATAAAACTAGTTTAGCGTTAATATTTGGATAATATTTGATCTAAAAGATGAATTTAATTGGTCCGCCACCCTATTTAATGGTATATTTTAGTTTTAGTCGCCTTGCTGATATAGCAGTATCAATGGAATGTTAGTTAAGTTTTTTTCAACCTGTCTTAATTGCCAGCTTTAGTAGAGCAATTTTCTAGATTGGGTGCCTTCATACAATCTTCCGGGGACCTTTCCATACCCCATACTCACTGGCGTTTGCATCGGGGCTATTAGCTTGGCGATCATCAGGCCGTATCAGTTCAGGAACATTTTGCAAATTATGCTTATTTCTCATGGCACACCACATGTTTAAGTGAGATGCTGGTGACATATTTTATTCAAGTAAAAGTGTATGATTCATGATCCATGGCTAGATAACAACCTGAAGTTTCATTTGGTATGCAAATTATGATTTTGTACAAAAAATTAAAAATGTTATAGCATTTTGAAAAAAAGTGGCGTTTTTTTTTGGCCCACCCTGTATTTGGAATGGTGCAGGTCGTGTTAACCAAGGAAATCATGACTGAAATTATTATAACGGTTTTTCATCAAAATGAGTCTTAAGTCAGTCATGACTCAGACTAAGAACAACAGTTCTTCATGGAGATGAGTATATATGAGTATGATAGTCACTAAACGTTCATGTTAATAGAATGAGTTCTGTTTTGGATTTCATTGCTCGATTTCAAAATCGGAGATAAATTAATATTCCGAAAAAAACATGCATATACATTTTAAAATGTCAATTTATCAATACAGTGATATCCATAGTTCCAAAGGTGTAATCAAATTAAGTGGATCAAATTAATGATCCTTGATCTCATTTTTCCAATTGTTGATTGAAAATTTAACTTACCTTTTCCTTACTCGTAACTAGTTGAAAGGCCATGCTAGTATTTAATTTTGAGGAAGTCTGGAGTTGTTCCTGATACATCTTGACATATATTTTTGTACATTATTCAGTTATGACGGTGAAAGGACTTCGGGGACATCCATATACTTCTTGATGCAAGAAAAGGCTCTTGTGACTTTCCACATCCTGCCATCTGATGAACTATTCTACTGGCACAGAGGCGGTAATGTGAAGGTATACCATATACCATATCTTCAGTCTTAGATATACGTAGAAAGCAAAGAATACTCACCAAAAACAAATACAAGGCATCTACATGCAAAATGTCACCACCTCTCATAGACGCTGACCGCCGAACACCGTCCACAAAAAAGTTGTAGACTATAACAATATCACTAGTACTTGTTGTGGTGACATAATAATAACTATCTCAATGAAAGTACACATGAAATCTTAAGATAGTCTACATATGTGTACTTTTTACTATTTATTTTTTCTAACTCTCTAAAGGTACATCTTATAAGTAAAGACGGTGTGTATCGGAGTGAAATTCTTGGAGACATGATGTCATCCGACGATGCTAACTATCAAGTGAGAGTACCAAGGAATCACTGGTATGCTGTAGAGATGGAGGACGCCACTCAGTCGTGTCTATACAGTGCCGTTGTAGTGCCAGGTACGTTATGCCTTGGTCACATTTGCTCCGATTTTCTCTCCGGCGCCCGGCCGATTGAGTATTTTTTCAAAATTGAATACAATATTGAGCAAATGGATCGGAGCAAATGTGACCCAGGCATCATCCTGGAGATTTAGTCATTTTGATCATCATATCTTTCTGTTTCATTTAAAACAAAACAGCTTTCGTACACCCTGTATTGTTGACGGCGGGACACATCCCAGAGTAAGTTCAATGTGATTTATTTCCAGGTTGGGAGGCAAAAGATTGGAAAGAAGGAAAGCGTGATGACCTGATTAGCAAATTCCCCAAACATAGAGATCTCATAGAAAGACTCACCACTGAATAATAAATAAATCTGAAGAAGGAATAAGTTTGCATTAAGTGTTCATTGCAATAAGTGTTCTCTCTCAGGGGTAAATGCAGAGTAAATTGCATTTTTCAAGAAATACTCAATATGGGCTGAGGCAGATATGGGTTTGTCCAGTTGGAACTACAATATAAGAGGACGGTCTATTTAGTCTAATTATTGCATATACTTCATCAATGACTTCAGCACCATAATTATTTGAAGGAGAGACACATTCCTACATCCAATTAGATCATTCCTAATACGATTTTGAACTAATGATATCCATTTCCGAGGTGTAACGTAAAGGGGTATTTTAAACAAGCGTTACTTGATATAAATGTTTAGTTGTTCAGAATTTACATAAATATATTGAAGTAAATGGTTAATCCAGAATCGGTAGACCAACTGATTGTTTGATTTTGGTATAGTGTAGCTGACACTTTCACCTGTCAGGAGTTGACTCAGAGGCGGCCTATATAAATCATTTTTTATTGCCAAATATACAGTACTTAGATGAGTGTTTATCTCCTTTTATCAACTATTGCCTCTTAAACAAGAGAATTAACAATGTCGTACTTCAAGTAAATATTTGTTAATGAGATCAGAGTGCTTCTATCGTAGATACTTATCATGTCATGTCAACATAGTTGACGTAGTGACTTATATTAGCCAATGAATCATTGATCTAAACATTTCGATCAAATGTCACTCAATCATTTGGAAGCAATGAAACAAGTGGATTAAACCTCTTTTTGAGAACTTAAATGCATAAAAGACATGAAATAAGACTATTATTATATTTTGCAACGGTTCACATATCTCTACACCAATCAGGTTACATAACATACATTGCCTGCTTTGCCAATAAGTGGCATTAGAAATAAATAATGGAACGAAAATGCGAAGAAGAATTTGAAACTGTCGACAAGGATATTGATCCTGGCCCACCGTACCTCAGTTTCCACAATGACTGGCCTGGATTATTACTGTCTCGTGAGAGGGTGCGGCAACAGGCCATGGCTCCATGGAAACTGGAGTGCAGAATGAAAGAAAACAATTCAATAACAGATCGGAGACTTGAGTTCACTTTAAAGACTATTAACGCAAAGTGTAAACAAGTGTCCGAGTCGTATGGTATCCAGAGAGAACAGTGTAAAAGATCGCTTCGTCAAATTAAGAAAACGACGCCATCTTTGAAGTCCTGGACAATAGATGGCAGTGGGAGGACTGAGAATTTAAAGTTAGCCGAACACAGACGCTTGGATAAGGTGTTTAGTCATGATTGTAGGTGTTTTCCCAGTCAAAAACAAGACAGCTGCAGGAGGTCGAGGAACAAATTAAATTGAATTATAGGCCTATTACTCTCTCTTGGGGGTCATAGCTACTAACTTACAACCCAATATGTCACATTGTTTTTAATAAAAAAAAAAAAAAATGAAAAAAAAAAAAAATAATGATTACAAAGTATTCTAATTTGAAAACTGGACTATTTCACATTAAAAAACGAAGACCCTGTACTACTGAGCTAAAAGTAGCTCGGTTTGATGATATAAATGTGCAAAATTTACCAAGAAATCAACAAAATATTAATTCAATATAGTTAAATCCCCTTTAAAAATATGGGACCATTTTCTAATCTTTGGAAATCTCATTCTCACTTTGAGGAAATCTTATCTATACAGTAAGTTTAGTAAACTATAAACCTTTACCGATCTGGGATTTACCCAAGACACTTTTGCGGTATAATACAATATTCAATACAATACAATACAATACAATACAATACAATACAATACGATATAATATAATGTATAGAGGTTATTTCTTGGGAGGGGTTGAATATGGGTTTTATACAGAGAGGGAATACGTGAACAGCACCGAATGGACCTCGGGAAATGTCATATGATCAATAAAGGTATAAATACATATTTGATTCCCGACCAGGAAACAAGCGTTCTACAGTGGGCCTTTTATGTTATGATATCGAACATATTGAATGATGATCTGATATCGCTACATATTTATATACAACTTTCATTGATAATTGTTTATAATGAATCAATATTTAATAACTAGTAAATTGCCGTTTGCTAATTTTTTATTTAAAAGAGCATTTTTTTAAAATTAAGAATTGTTTGAAAGAAAATGGAACATTTCTTAAATTGAGTAGGGAATGAAATACGAGGACAACAAGTTGAATATGATTAATTATAATTACTGGTGTTTTTCACCGGGAAATAACAGTATCATGATGCGATACATTATGTCCAATGAAGACAACCCGGTAGAAACATTTACGAAAAACACAGAGGTCACAAAGAACAAGATCTAACAAGAGGATTCGACAAAAGTGTACGTGTAATTATAATCAGTAAATTATGATCAGGTGCACGGAAATGGAAAAATCAAACATTTTACCAATTTATTTTAATCCAAGAAAATTGAGATTTTGACATTTTATCATAATATTACTGAGAGAAAATAGGTGTCATTTTAGATGAAAAGTTCATTTATGACGATCACATCAAAACTTGGAGTAGGAAAAGATCGAATTATCTTCCCGTATGGTGTACAACAATAGACTGCCATCTTAGAAAACAAACATGAAGAAGGCATTTCAAAATCGTGTCGTCCTATATGTTATGAGTGGCCCTTCCCTTGTATATCTCTGAGTCGTACTAAAATTAAAAATATACATGCGAGTTTTCACAAACATTTTTTCATTATTCATTTAACCATTTTGTACAAATGCCAATAGTACTTAAATTAAAGGGGAACAAGGACTGTAGAGAGAAAATTAGAAAATTAAATTTTTTCTGAGCTGCCGGGTTGATATTTGGCTTAACACCTTTTTGACAAACCTATTTTCTTAAAGGCCCCATGTAAAGTTTAAACCACTTTGGCTTATATTGTAGTCTTACCCAATGTTATCAAAGTGTGATATGTGAAACTTTTTTTTTAATTTCAAAAAGTGGTTTTTGATAGACTTTTTGTTCCAAAATTTGTGAATTTATTTAAAACCAACTTTTAGAGGTCACTCATATCTTCTAATTAGCCACAATTCATACCAATGCATAGCATTCATCCTCCCATATTTTTTGCCGAAAAAATTAAGAAAATCGGTTGATAAACAAGCGAGAAATGAACTTATCAGTGCATGAAAATGGTTCGGAGAAAAATGCATTTCAAAATTTTAGTTCTCATAGAAACCAATAGTACAATGATATCTAAAACATAATTTATTCTTCCTTTTGACCTGGTTAGACAATCAACATTGTTTTTTTTTATGAAAGTCTAGCATATTTAGAAAAGATTGACATCGAAAAAAAAATTCAATTTTTTCAAAAAGTTTTTGTTATCTTAGTGACATCACTAATGGTTCAAAATATTTTTGATAAGCTAAAACATTGAAGTGGCCCATTAAATATGACATTTTATTATTGAAATAGTGTGTCTTTTGTTCAATCTTTGCATTGGTGTTAAAAAGATAATCCTTTTTGAAATGCATTAAGAAATATTTGATGATTAAGAAATTTCAACTTTTTTTTAAAAATGGCGGGAAATTTGAATATCTGAGAAATGTAATGCTCACAACTTTTTTTTCAAAAAAATGTTTTTGTTCAAAAATCTCTAAAATCACTTTTTAAGTCCTGACAAATAGTAAATGAATGATAAAAAAATATTTTCAAACTTTAGACGGAGACTTTAAATGTTCGTATAAACTATCAATTTCAGCATTGAGGGAGTCCCAATAATAGATTTTTAAGATCTGCCACGTTTCAAGAGGAATATCAGCTGAAATAGTGTTCATCCAGGGGGTTTCTTTGTAGATAATGAAAATATACGTTAGTCTTGATGAAATGTCCAAACTTAAATATGTTTTGACACTGATCGATGATCGTTGAATGGCCCCCTGCACTGATTGTTGCACCTTTAAGTATATCTTCCAAAATCATGCTTCCTTGTATTCCGGGAGTATAATGTAGGCTACTGATATTATTTCATGAGGTTTTTATCAGATGATGTTTCAACATCTTAGTCATGCATCAAACCCATGCAATGGTACATGTACGTCTACCTCCCGGGGTCTACCTACGCGTGTAGAGTGTAGAAAACGATGTGGGAATAAGATAAGTCTTGACGCAATGTACTTATCTGCTTATCTAACCGGACATTTAAATATGATTTAATCACTTGTCAAAGTATGTTCAACATCTTTTTAAGATTCTTTCCAAGGAATGCCATTTGATGAGTCCATGGTCGATCATTACCATATGAGAAACCTCCCTGCGGAGGAGGTCCGGTGATCCCACCAATCTTAGCTACTCTTCAGAATGTTGGTTATATATTTATAGCAGAAACAAGCGCTATATTTTCAAGGCACGCTTGTTGTTGGTATAGACAGTTCAAAAAACCTAACTTGAAATAAGATCCAGAGGCGTTGGTTATATATGTACTGGAGAGTACTTGGGCGAAGCAAGTCGATTTTTATCACAAGGATATTAGAATGGCTTTTTGGATATATTCCTTGATTTCTCTTATATTTATTCAACATTCCTATGGTAAGTGAATTACTTTTTTACGTAATTCCCCAAAATTTCAAATTTGAATCATATGAATTATGCATGTCGAAGTGTTAATGATATTTCTCAGTCAACTATATCTGTTATACAGCTCAAGTTGCTTCACTTGTAAAGAGAACGATTGATATTATAAATACCATAGGTTTAACCTTTGACTATCATTCAGACATCAAAAACAGAAGAAATTCGAAATGCATATTTGTCAGTTCAGGTTTACACCAAAAGGTCAAGGTTAAAGCTATAAAAAGGTAAATACATAGCAATGTCAGGTATATGATTAAGTTAGGTTATTAGCAAATATCTTGTTGTTTTCTATGTTGCTATATGTGCTCTCATGCAAAGTAGCTACATAGGTGCATATTTATATATAAATCACCTTAATACTAAATATTGCCTCTGGAACAGAATGATTAAATACCAGTCAAGCCAAGCTTCTCTCCCTATATCTGCAAATATATCTGTAAACAACTGCTAGAAACGTCAGTAAGCCGGTAAGGGCAGAAATAGAATTGTACCGATAATAGCTACATCTCTTTTTATCCAACCTTACCTCACCCGGCGTGTGTTATGAACTATATAGTGTCACACTTTTGGCTACTTGTTGGATTGATTTTGGAATAATTCTAGAATTATAGATTATGTCAAGCTACACGATCAGTAACACCCAAGGTATTTCGGAACGCAGAACTATGTTACATTGTGTGATCTTGTGAGCCAAACTGTGTGAGCATACATACCATCGATTTCCAATTGGACAATGTTAGAGACTTTTTATCTTAAAATTGTTATCTACAAAATAAAAATCTGAATTCTATTTTGAATATGAGTTATTTCAATGGGGATGGGTTTCTTGAAAAATACAATTAAGTTCCTTCGCATCTGTTTCTTATTTTCAGAAGAAATCTATCAATTCAGGGGGTTCCATATTTTTGTCGGGAGGTGTAAATATGTTATTTCTAAGTAAGTAATATAGGCTAATCTAGATGCTATTGCTGATATGTTTCATGGGTATAAGGTTTTCTAATCCATGTCCTCAAATATTTTACTCTGCGGTTGTCGAATATAAGATTTTGGCGTTTCCTTATGTTTCCATCTGACGCCTTTGGCTGTCTCGTCACTCTTAAAGCAGACAGATGACTGCTGTCAGAGCAGGCAGGACATGACCTTCCATCTCTAAAACATATGATGGTAATTAATAATGTGGCATATCCATCCTAGATTCCATGCCTACTATGTAGGAGTTGTAGTTACGCTGATCTGGGATGGTACTGCGTATCATATGAGGAAAACTCAGATGACATGTAGTCATTGCTGTGAAACACCCACATTTCATCACTTGATATTATATTCAAAATATGATTGATATAGCGTGGCTATCGTGGTATTTACAGAATGATAGAAACACAAATTTCTTTCATCACCGGGTGTGATGAACCGAGCCCTTGAACTAATAAGTCTTGACGCAATGTACTTATCTGCTTATCTAACCGGACATTTAAATATGAAAAAAATGACATGTGTTACTTAATTCTTCAGAGTGGTCTTGACTCATAGAATGTTATTCAGATGTGTATACCATTTTGCTTGACAATACCTTTTTGGCATATGCTTAACTGAATTGCTCTATCAGAATGTCATAGTCACTGTATCTTGTCTGCAGTGATGACCAACCAACTGACCGCTTAAAATAGTAATTGTCTCCCTATACGCTTATCGAGTTGAATATAATGGTTTCCTTCACATTCCAAAATCTTTTCATGAAGACAGGAAAGGTACGTTTTTCGTGTTGTTCAATGTTGCTTGGTCGTGGGGCAAAAAAGGATAGTAAAGTCCCAAGGCGATATTTCGCGTTACATAAGTACATGAATACAATGTGTATTGTGTTCCAAAAGTTGTGATGAATACAATGGGCATTGTGATTCAAAAGTTGTGATAACATGTATACATTTGTGTATTGTGTTTCAAAAGTTGTGATAATATGGATACAATGTGCATTTCGTGTTCCATAAAGTGGAGATAACATGGATATAAATGTATTTCGTGTTACATAAGAAGCATAAGTAGTGAGAGTAAAACTTTATTTAGTAGTGATAGTACATTGTCAAGTAACATAAGTCGTGATAACATGGAAACATTGTTTTGTTTATGTTACAGGGGTCAGAATAACGGATCCATCAGGTAGTTCCCTCGAAGTAAACTCAGGTGACACTTTCCAAATAACTTGTGAATATTATACGGAGGATGAAGGTGTCAACTGGTACCTGAATGGGATGATACTGAATGACAACCCTGACTATAGAATATTAGCCGAGGAGTTGGATCGTGAGATGTCTGAAAGCACTCTAACAAAGCGCTATGCTTCTAGTGACGATAGCGGCCATTACAAATGCATGAACAAGGTTGACATATTCGACGATGTTACAATAGAAGTTACAGTCATAGATGGGGAGGAAGGTAATATGTTCATATGGTTTTTAGGTTACTAACTTCACGATGGGCCTATAGATTTAGTAGACTAAGTGCATCACCGTTTGGACATTATGTGTGTGTTATTGTCTTACTTGTACGAGAATACAGGTTGGGATCGAAAGATTTGTCGACTTTGATGGAGCATGCTATTTTTCATGAAATTAAAACACTAAGAAAACTTTACAAATTATTTCATATATTTCGTTAAACTAAAGAAAATTGCATACTCCTTGCAACGGATATATCATTTGCGGGTAGCCTTCACTTGTGTTTGAAATCCAAGAACGCTAGTAGTTTATTTTGTTATAAATTATAATGTTTTTGTCCGTTGTGGGGGAGCAGTTTCAAATGAAAAATACATGAAGATTCCTTATACATCTTTTACAACTAAACTCCATGTCAAACCCTTTCCCAATTGACACGTTCTCTCCTTTAAAGTGAAGCTGCAGTTGTCTTTGGTATAACGAAACATATGAGTTACAAAATTATTTGTGAAGTTGTCTTAGCCTAGGTCGTAAAATAGTAGGTTAATCCGGTAGCCTACAGCCGGAAGTTGCATTAGCGAAAACAAGCTTAGTGTTTTCATGAAAAACAGCATGCTCCACCATAGCAGACAAATATTTCGATCCCAACCTGTGTAAAGGGTCAGCATTGATCAACATGATAAATCATTACTGAGTCTACATGTGAACTCGATTCATCAAATATTTTGTGAGGTAAATCGGAATATTAATATACAATTGGCTGGAAATTTGAAAATTCAACCATTTCTTCAAAACCATCCAAAACACTTTTCGAGGCGTGAAAATAGCTTTGCATTAGGCCGAGAAAGATTAATGTTTTTGGCTAGCCATGTTTGTTCTGGATACAATATTTAACTGTTTTTCTTATGCGAACTATTTCGGTGGTGAACTTTGCCTTTCAGCTGCTAAGCTTGTCTTAGCGATCGTTTCATAAATCTTAGGCTTCTACATCGAACAATATGCTTAGCAAATTTCATGGAAAAATTGATAATCGGGCTTTAAATACTCTAAAAGTAGTCAAAGACATAAATCCTTAAAAAGCAAAGAAGATAAGGAATTGACTAAGGAAATTTTGGATAGAAAGGTTGGTTAATAAAGGTCACTCTTACATTCTTGTACATTTTAATGGTGTGGCCTAACTACAGTACATAATAGGGCTTACCTTTGCTAGAGGTCTTAATAATTTACATGAATAACAAATAGAGGGAAGCTCTGCATTATACCATATATTTGCCATACATAAATTGTTAGAGGCGAAACATTTTTGATTAAAAGATGAAATTGGCTAATACAGAATGTATGTATTCAAAATATGCAGTCAATTTTAAAAATCCTAAGATATAATTCCATCCGTGTCGGCCATAGTGCTGTGAAGCTATATCAGAAAACGTAATTCAAATTGTAAAGAATTATAAAGAATGCCTGGTGATGATTGTGTCAGATGGCAGATAATGTGAAATAATAGGAAAGACCTGACATTCTATTTTCAGATTTCGACGTTGAAATCTTTGAACCGGATGAAGATGACGTCACCTTAGAGGAGGGTGATGCACTTTCATTGAAATGCAAAGGATGCAGTGTGTGTGATCTTGTTTGGAAGGTGAACGGCATGCCTTTAAATGACGGCCCTGGTGTGAACATTGAAGTGTTGAAGCAAAACGGAAAGACTGTGTCCTGGCTGAGAAGAGATGATATGGAAGCAAGATTTGGTGGACAGTACAAATGTCAAGATGAAGAGGATCCATTTGGAGGTGATTCTGTAGAAGTTAAAGTTGAGGCACCAGGTAAGTTTAAATCACATATGCATACAAATTCATTATTAAACTAAAGATTCATATTTCTAAAAAAAGATTTGTGATAGCCTTGTACGTGTCAGTTCTTTTATCCCAATGTATTTTTATTTAGGAGCCGTTAACATAAAACAACCTAGTCCATTCACATCTATGCCTGGTGAGTCATTTACCCTCGAGTGCCAATCGAGTGACTCAATTGTTTGGTACAAAGAAGACGATCAACTGGAGGACGGCGTGGACGGATACATCATCGCAGAGTCTTATCAAGGCAGTAAGACGGTATCATTGCTCACTAAGGAGGATGCAACTGAAGATGATAGCGGAACGTACTACTGTTCAAGCAGATCGAACAGCAGAGAAAATGATGACGTCACAGTACGAATTGGATATGCACGTAAGTTTTTCCTTTTTCTACCATTATGAAACATAAACATATTTTAAACAATACAATTATGATCATTAAATATGTATGTATAGCACTGTGTCGTTGATTGAAAATGTGAATTATTTTGTTACAGAGGGTGTTGAATCAGCGCCCCCTGGTGTGGGAAGTGGTCCCGTTCCTACACTCTACGAAAACATACGTTTGCGCATGCAAGAACAAATGATCACTTTGAAATGTATAGACGGCAAAGACAGGTATTCCAAATATTCGTGGACCAAAGACAGTACTAGTTCATTCGGCGATGAAGAAACATACAAGGAAAATGGAACAGAACTCATGATTCAAAATGTCGGTAAGTATATAATCTGGGTATTGAGTATCGGGGAAAATCGGCTAGTATAAAGCAGCTAAATCCCGGCGTTGGTAAATGGCACTCGAAACAGCGTTCGAAACGCTTGAAATTGATTATACCACGATTACACTATTTCTAGTGTTGTAATTTTTTTTATTTCAGATGAGAGAGCCATTGGTCTGTACGAATGTATGACAGAAGTTCGAGGCAAGGACCCCTTGTTTAGGAGATATAATCTCACATGTAAGTTATTGAAGCAAGGATGAGACTGACTCAAAAATCATTTTTGGCAGTGCAAACGAAATCAAACGGGAATGAAACTATTTGTATGGGAAGAATGCAATGTAAAATCTCAATTGAGGTAGCATACTTTCATCAATGGTGAATATCGTGCTTAAGTTAAAATAAAAATGTTTAAGTTAGTCTCATCATTCGTTTAAGATACCATGCATTTTCTTGAAATGTCTCCGATGTTGCAGATGTTTGAGTTTTAATTCATAGCTGAAATTGAAGGTGTATCTATATCAAACGAATCATTTTGGATGAGACTATAACTCGAGTTACTTTAATCCAGCCTAATGTAGCCTAATGTCCTAGATGTTTAGAATATAATTCACAAAAAGAATAAAAGATGTAACAAAAACTTTCCATGAGCATATCTTCAATTTGCAATATGCGAGGATTGATCCAAAAATTCTGCACCGTTTGTAAAGTATTAATTAGCAAACGGTGCAGAACTTTTGGATCAACCCTCGTGCATGGTGTTTTACAGCTGCATCCTGTATGATGGCTGAAACAGTGCCCAACGTAACATCTACCGATTGTCAATCAAAGGTGTACTACGGTACTTCATGCACATTGAACTGTACCCTACAACAGACGCAGATTACAAATGAATGCCAAGCTGATGGGACTTGGGATGGTAGTTGGGCATGCGACTCTGCTACCTCAGTGATCATGTCTACCTTTACTTTACTAATAGCGCTCATGGCGGCTAGATTGGCAAACTAGACGACGTTATGTTAAAGAACGGAGCGTGAACAATAGTGAAATATAGCTACACGTTTTTAAAGAAAACTTGAACGTGTAGGTGCTGCAATATGATGACTAGCATGGATAACTGTTCCCTTTCTTTCCAGGGACCTAATTTCATCTTATTTCTAATTCCACGTGTAGTTTAACCTCATGTTATATTGTACTTTGAGTATACATCATGAAGATTCAGATTCACAATGCAATTTAATATTTCAATAATTCATCGAAAACAAATCTGTACATAATAGCACATATTATTATTTTTCATCTCGAGCTTCCAAGAAACTTCATGGTTTCATTTGAACAGTTATTTGAGCGATTTACCTATCCGCCAATTTCTTTCAAATGACCAATTAGGTTTCTGTTGAAAGTTCCCTTCCAAGGTTGTGGCAAAAATCAAATGCAAATATATGGGTATACGAAATGTATCTCACCTGATTTGATACAGTTCTGAATATTTACCTCAGAAAATAGATACGAACCAAAATTCATATTGCGAAAAACACAAATACGAGCGAGGAAAATGTTAAAAAACATTTGAGCTCTTTGTGGTAGCATTTCCTAAAATATCAAAAGGCTGCGATTATGTACAGATGACTATGTTGTGCATTCTTGCGGATTTGTATATAGGAGTTCTATCGACTGTATGTCTTAATTTTTAAAATGTAGTTATCTTTTATTAACTATCTTTTCTATCTCGACGTATCCTTTACCGTAGTTATATGAATACTACTCAATTTTAGGCAAAATATAAACGCAGCGATTACGTAAGCTTAAAGCGTTATAAACACGATACCTCCCTATTATGTACATGTCACAGTAGTCTGTTATTTTCAATCTTAATAATTTGTTTTGAAATTGTAAAATTTATAAACCCATTCTGTACCTTGTATATAATAATTTTGATGTATCTTGTTGTGTGGCGTGATTTTCAAATATTTTTATCAAAAATATATCATCCAAGTGTTTTTTCTATAAACGATCTCGTGTTATTCATTCTCTTCAAAGGTACATTTAACCTTGTTTCCATAGTTTCTTGAATGGCAAGTTATTGCAGAATTAATAGACTCAAAGTTTATTAAAGCAAAACTAGAAAATGCCATCTCAACAGTGAAGCAAGTTTCAATGTACAATTAATTTTCTCTAATAATTAATAAGTATCGTAATTAAAAAGAAGGCATTAACATGCTAAATGTCACGACCTGCCATTGGTTACAGATCAACAACCGCCGACCGCTATCCACAATGGAGACTATAACAATATGTCACCATTAAGAGCTGTATTACAATTGCTTAAATCAGTTATAATACATTAAAGGGTGACGCATATCGTTTAGCAGATCGAACGCTCGTTTCTGGTGTTGCTCACCATTTAGTATAAAAGGCTCGATCCCGGAATAATACTCAAGGGTTCAAAGGCTCGAGGTCGTTGTGTCAACACCTCTAACTTTTATATAACATTTGTACAGTTTAGATGGTCACACATTTATAAAAGGGAGATTTTCATTTTAACAAATATACGGGAAGCTTATCGGAACCCTTTAAAAATGATATGAAAATCAACAACAAAAATCACCAGGCCTACATGTACCACCCAATATTTTCCGAAAGGCTTCGCGTTTTTGTGCGTTGTATTATATATTCTAAGGTTTACAGACGAACGAACAGAGAGCTCCGCCATATTCTATCCAATTTTGGGATAATCAATAACTGAATTTAAAAATTGCAGCACTGGAGTAAAACCAAAGAATGGTATACAGAACAGTTGAGAGGAGGAAAGGGACACACAGCCAAGTTTGAACCAGTAAGTGTGTCAAGGGTTTCCTGAACGTTCTCTCTCTAAAAAGCATTGCGATGCATAAATTGCGAAGTTAGGCAGCTGGAAGTGCAAAAAGGATGGTAGAGAAAGTGGATCAAAAAATACATTGAAGATTATAAAAGTCCGTTTCAAATATTTACATGATCCGAAAGTACAAAAAAAGAAAATGTGACATCTAAACTTGTTATAAAACTTAGAAAACCTAAAAGCGAGATTTGTCAATAATGTTATAAAACCATGTTATAAAATGATATTGAGGGTCAATTTGGTCGGTGACCTCATTTGGTTTATTTGGTCTTTTATGTTGATTTTCGACCTTCTTTTCATTATAATTGATTTCATCTTATTGAAGATAACTTAAAAACATTGCAATCTTTGACAACCATTAATAATCAAGTAAACAATTAGATGACAAATAGCTTTATACCTCCAGAAACACTTCGATTTCAAAACGATGTTTAACAGAAGTCGATCAGAAATCGAAATCTATACAGGGAAACTATTTATATTGGCGTCTATTATTGACATCAAATATGAGGATAACGGCAGATACCCTAACGGTATCCCTTCAACAAGTACGCGAAACCGAAATAAGCAGTCGGGAATGACTATGTATATGATATTGAAAAAGAATAAATACACGTAAATGGAACTTATTTGGAATATATTTTAACAGTACACTCAACTCAGTACTCATAATTTAATGGAACCATGTCTTCCTTATATGTTAATGAAACAATTCCAGAGAAGGGCATATCTTTTATCGAATCTGAAAGGACACGTCAGAATTCTGCATTCCTAACGCCGTACGTGTTTTACGAAGCGTTTTTATTTGTCATTGGGGCTATAGGAAATACTCTCATTATAGGAACGTTTGTGGTTGTGAAATCCATGCGAACTTTACCAAATGCCTTTGTTCTCAGCTTAGCCATTGCGGACTTGATGGTCACCTCTGTATTACAACCTCTCATGATGGTCGGAGCATTAATGGGTGAACGATTTGTCGTAGAGACGCAGGGCCTCTGTACTTTTTTCGCCTATATCTGCATACAGAGTTGCCTTTCATCGGCATGGAACATCATGCTGATCAGTCTCAATAGGTTCATCTGTATCTGTAAAAACAGCTGGTACTCGAAGATCTACTCGAAAAAATCAGTTGCATTAATGATAGCAATTGCCTGGTTTTATGGATTTGTAGGGAACTTTTTACTGTGGGTAGGATGGACTGATATCGCGTTTCTGCGGAAGGAATTCACTTGTATGTGGGACAGTCACAAAAACTTCAGTTACGTTATATTTGTTTCCGTAGTAACTGTTCTCATACCTGTCGGTTTAACTGCTGTGGCATATTTCATGATTTTTCTTAAAGTGCGAGAATCCAAGAAGAAAATCCAGGCATTTAGCAAGAAAACTGAGAAGAAGCAAGGTACACGCAATGATATCAGATTAGCTCGTATGTTGTTCATTATGTTCACTGTGTATTGCATTTTGTGTGCACCTTATGCGTTAATCCTCACATTTGATATCAATGATAAAGCTCCATATCAACTATATGCTATATTCATACATATGTTTCACACCAATAGTGCAGTGAATTTCATCATTTACGGCCTCACCAACAAAAGCTACACGAAAGGTTATTCATTGTTCTCCAAGTATCTACTGATTAAGATGACCTGTGGAGCATACAAACCAAGGCAAAATGTGGAGGATGACATAGACAAGAGTAACATGACACAAACTGTTACTATGGCAACTTAGTAAGGTCTGGTATGATGATAAGAAATTAAACTTCAAGATATAAACAATTGGATGAAAAAACAATAAGACTGCCTTTTAGTTTATTTATTAACCGTGATAAATACAATACATATATGGATACTAGTATATTAAATGTTCCGAAAAATTGAACAATGAGCGCCAGCAAATCTACCCTGCGCACAGAGTCTAGTTATAAAGATGAAGCTCTCTTTTAAGAAGCGAAGTCGAACGATTGCAAAGGGTATAGCATATCTTATCTTCTCGTCCCTTTATAACTCAAAGGTTTCATATCCAAAAATAATTAATCCATTTTACTTATAAAATGTTATCATAGTATTGGTACTTCTTCATATTTTGAGGGCAGAACGAAGTCAACGAGCAGATCATGTTTTACGGAAATCTTAATTTCATTCACGACGTTATGTGCGCATTGGCTCGTTTCCGAAATTCTCTGCCTCGACAACAAGCATATCTGGAAATTTGAAACGAAGCCTGAAACGATTTATCTGGAAATGTGAATATGTTCACAAGACTGCGTAAACACTGGTGATCCGCTCGATTATGCTGGTTACCGATTTTTCTTTTTTCCTTATTTCACGCGTTGTAGGTAGAATCCCAACGACATTTATTCTTACAAACATAGAAAATGCACATGTTTGCGAAAAAATAGCTCAGAACACAACAGAATCGTCAATTTAATTCCTCACTTAAGTTACACAAACGGTATGGGTTAAAAATGCAGATCTTAACTGTTTTTCAAAAACCGTTCATGTAAGTGAGGAATTAAATCGACGATTTTGTTGTCTTGTGAACTAGGCCTATGTGTTCGCAAATATGTACATTTTCCTAAACATATGATACTGATATACGTTTGTGATAAAACTGCCGTGGGAATTCTGCCTACAACTTGTGAAATAAGGAAAAAAGAAAAATCGTACCTTCGATGTTCCGACATTTTGTTACCGAAACGAACCGTTTCGATAATCAGCGTAATCGAGTGGATCACCAGTGGTAAACAACGTTAGGTAGTTTGTTTGTCAAATGCATTTTTCTTATAATTGACTAAACTAACTACCTTATACTGGTAGGATTCATGCATTTAGTTTTTAGTGCCTTCATTTCTGCTACATGCAAATAGAACAATGGACCTGGCAGATGCCATATCCCACAAACTATCTCCCCATTTGTAGAATCTTTATTAGTAAAGCTAGGATGTTCAAACTTTCCCCAAATATACTTCATTCAATTATCTACTATGGTATTATAGCTTTAACAACTATGATGATGTAAGATTGTGCAATTTTATTCTAAAGACACCACATATGGTAGAATTAGTGATTCTCAGTTTATATCATAAGGGTTTGTCTCTTGGAGCTGATGATTACAGCATAATAAATCAATTACCCTACATACAATTCTGCTGATTTTTCCATAATACATTTGTTATATCTCTAGCTACAGCTACTGAGAATTTGAAGATCCTACCTGATGTTGTTGTTTAAAAAGTTGTAGAGAAAAAACTTAACTGTGGGGGCCTTTTGTACAACCTCCCCCCTCCCTTAAAGGTTCTGAAGGGCCAATAGCTAATGAGATAATTAGCTAATAAATCTATATTTTGCATATAAGATTTCAATTGTTAATATGACGCTTCCTGCTATTGTTACAATTAGCAATATTTAAAGCTAAGACTGCTTTGCTATTTTGAGAAAGTATTTTGCTGACACCAGCATATTATATTTCAAATAAAGTTAACATCTTAGTTAAAACATTAAGTTTTGGCCATTCAAGCTCAAATAAATGGTTGTAAATTGATGAGATACGTAAAATCCATATAATAAATTCTGCTGACCTTGCAGAAAAAAAACTCAAGGTCACATGCATATTTGTCAAATCTTCATCAGAACACATCAGACAAACATATTATGCAATAAAACATTTAATTAATTGGTATATACTCCAAAACAACCCACTCATGGCTTTCTTCTAGACTATTAGTGTAAAGTTCCCAATACTTCACTCTTAAAATTAATTACTTGAGTATTTCCCAAGAACTCGTATTTCCCAAGTATAAAAATTACTTAAAGTTAAATACTTAGTTTTACTTCATTTTACTTAGGTTTAACTAATATTGTCATTTTGAGTTTTTTAATTGCTTAATTATGTAAATGAGTATTACAATTACTACAGTAAGTATTTCAATTTCTCTCCTTGCATTAGTAAATTCACCATAAATGAATTACTTAAAAATTATTCAGTAGTTCAAGATTATTTAAGTAATTTTTGACTTAAAATGAGTAGTACAATTTCTCAATATAAGGAAATCCAAGTAATAATTTTTAAGAGTGTTTGTGACTTGAAAAACTATTTGAGACATTTTTGAAAATGTGACTTGAAATAATGTTCTATATTTTCAATTTCTCTGGAATTACTTTTGAAATTTTTTGTAACTACAGTTTTTGCTTTAAATGTGGAGTCTGTTTGCTATTAGTTTATCTATGGTGAAGAAAAACTCCTTTTGAGCCATGATTTATATTTGCAACGACTTTTAGATTTTGGGATCACTTATATTCATTTACTGGTTTATAAATACAAGGTGGGCGAAAAAACGTCTGTACAGGGTGTCAAAAAACAACGGCACCCCCCTCTACAGCAAAAAGTACTTAATATTACATGGTGTGTCATATGTCATTTTAAAGACAATTTAATTCTTGAGTTACCTGAGAAATATCAGCTTTATATCATGTAATTTTAGAGATTTACAGCTGAATCTTAGTAGTTGGTATGACCGCCAGTTGCTGCTCAAACAGCAGCTTATCTGGACGGATATGATTTCAATGAAAATTCAGATAAAGGTGTAGCATTGCATAATCCTCTAAGCACTTTCCTCAAATTCTTCAGAAATACATCCTCACTGTATCTTTTTTCAAGAGGCTCTTCGTCCATCAGTTCCTATACCCTGTTTTTCAGAACTGAACCCATATGTTCAGTGCAGTTGAAATCTGAGCTAATTCTTTCATATTCCACTTTCTGAAGATTTGACCTTTAACCAGTAACAGAGCAGCAAATAAAGTACCAAAGTAGCAAACTTAAAAGCAATGTAGCTTTTTTAATATAAAGTTTTTATAAATGAAATTTGAGGAGTAACTCCAGAATTAAATTATCTTTCAAATGATGTATGACACAATATGGAACATTCAGGACTTTTTGCTGGAGAGGGGGGTGCCGTTGTTTTTTGACACCCTGTATGTTTTTGCATGGCTTTCAATATTATTTCGGAGGGGATGCATCAATCAATTATACAGTTGACCTCAAATTGGCATTGAATATAGCGGTTTTTGAATGAGTAAGGTTCTTTAGGGGACAATAGAGGTGTGAATGCGCATTCCCGGTTTCAATGTATTATTTTACTGCAGTCTTTGTTATGCTCCAAATATTGGAACCAGATAGATGGCTAAAAAGTCTTCCAGTGACTTTTAATTTGTGTTTTCGGAAAAATGCATCCAAATGAACTCCATGCAATTATTCAAAAGTTATCACCAAATATATATGTAAGTCTGAAGGCCCACCCTGTATATTTGTTATCTGTGACATTCTTCAGGTTTAATTTAGTATTTATTTGTATCATGAAACCATATTATTACGAATAATGAAGCAAGTGCGATGCTTTTGTTTCCAAAATCCAGTAATGCATTCCTAGATGTCGTACTTTCCCCGTGGTACTTCCACGAAAAATATGAATTGTCATATTTGCAAGAGGAATACACTTGGCGTCCTCCTTACCAATGCATTATTAGGGTCTGTAGTTTAAGGAGACAATAGCATAAGAGGTACAGTTCTTTATAACTAAGATTTGAATTTTACCTTTTTACTCATGGGCAAGGTTATAGAAATTTTAATTTTTGTAAACCGAGTTTCCGTTTCAACACCTGCGACTGTATAGTTAACTGAATTTAGTCCCTCATGTTTGCTTCTTTTCAAAGAGAAAGTACGGTACATTTTCATTTGATTCTTGTTCACCGGATTGCGTTTGTCTCTTTGATGTTTTTGCGCCCAATAGGAGCATTTATCAACGTTGCAGTTCTCAAATTTGATTTTGTTACTTTCTAAACGTTTAACAAGGTCATAATCTTCCCCACCCCAACCCCAATATTCATTGCTATATCCATTAATCTTTTTGAATGAATCGGGTCTCACTCCAACCACTCCTCCTGTCATGCGATGCGTTTTTGGCAGCTCGTAGTCACGGATATTTATATAATTAGCTAGATGCACAGCGATTGAATTGGTTTTACATGCGTAAGGAGTTTTATCATTCTCTGGTAATAGATCGACATCATGGAAGAAGAAACAATTGAATTTCCTTGGGTGTAGTTTGTTAATTTCAAGGAAACCGCTGTTCATAATACTAGCTTTGTTAAATATCTCAGGTGACACTTGCTCAATTATGAATATTGCATATGAAGTTTGTTGATGTTGAAGAAATGGATGCATATGATTCAAAAACTGTTCAAGATGAGCAATTCTATCTCTATATGGAACTATAATTGCAACGTGCTGCGCTGGAATGCATTTTGTTGGAGACCAATGTCCACCAGGTTGTAGTTTTTGGAAATAAGTATTCAATTTTGGCTTCGATAGTCGTTTCAATTGAAAGAAGATATTCCGTCCAATTTCGTTTGAGCTTGGATCACATACTGTTAACTTGGCAATTGTTCGTGTGGCGGTGGTATTGACGCCTTGTTTCACCTTGTGTTTTACTGTTACATTCCTTATCGTTTGGAATTTTGTGATGTTCAGGTCTACTGTTTTGTTTATGATGGACTGAACGGGTTGAACATCTTGTACTGTTTTATTACTTGAAGCATTTAGTCTCTGTGCTGTTTGGAAGCCCATATCCTCATATATTTGTGCGAATGTTCTTTTTCTTATTTTGACAAATACCCACTGGGCCAGCTGAAGGTTTATCCATAAGCAAACTATAAGTGCAAATACACTTCCATATTTGATTATTCTAGCTTTTGAGTGGATCATGTCTGCTGAGTCTGGTATAATACGCCGTACTGCTGCAGTAAAATTTATTATGTTCCAGTTAGTTAAAAATAACGTGTATTAAGTCACGATTGTACAGTCCTTAAAACGAAAGTAGTGTTTTGTGGTACTAATCTAGTATTATAGGCCTATGTACGTCATCCTTATCCTTAAAATAGTCATTTGACTTTATTAATTCTATAATTATTAAGGCTATATGTATTTTCGGTCTCTTTTAATGATTTTCGGTGACCTCTTCCTAGTAATATATTACTCGCCTCCTTCCCTGTTGAACATGGGCGTTACACTACCCAGTGTTTTCAGTGTATGTTGTTTTTTCACTAATGCTATAAAAGAGATGAACCATTGATAACTCAAGGTAGGAACTATTGAAAAGAGATGTGTCCGATAAATAATTGAAACCTTAAACTATAAGAAAAAGAACTTTACGCAGCTACATGTATCTATTCCCATTAACAACATCTTTAAAATGGATATTCCTTCCAAGTCCATGTCTCTCTTGATATGACAGATGTAACCATCGTTATACCAATATTCAGCAAAACATGGGAGGGGGGCCAATAATGCTATGTAGCCTCGGCCCCTCACAATCTATGTAAATAATTATGTTTAATTATATAGAAATAAATAACAATAACCTATAAAAAAAACATGGGAATATGTGAAGTATTCTATTGAATATGTTCGGCCTGTCTTATAATACGTCAGATGAGTGAAAATAAGATAAACGAAAAATACAATCGGTTAAATGGTACTACCCTGACTGAAAGGAAGGCGCATCCTGACATCCTTAACATTTTTTATTGACCTGTAAATTAATTTTTCAAAAGGATCGCAATATAAAGTTAGAATCTATGAATCAAACTTTGAATTGTTGCTATGTCAACTCACGGACCTGAAGAAAAGTCCGTGGTCAACTTCAGAGTCTAGAGTTTAAGTGGGTTATAGTAGTCTAGATGTGAGACTGAACATGCGACAAAAAAGCAAATGTAACACTTGACTTTTTATCGACAATCAAAAGTCAACTTAAAGTAATTGAAAACGAAATTGCGATGAATAAAAATTCAAAGTTTATATTTAATTTCTATAGTGTCAGCAAAAAGGTTGGAGACTACAAGATGTCACCCAGTGGTCAAATAAGAGGGGACCATCCTCCGAAAACAGAACCTCGTTTTTCTAAGGAGCCCTGCGTTTGAATGATTGATTGGTATAAAATAAGTTTTACTTGTGTCTTTCATGTAGCTTTTAAATCTTGAACCAAAATTATGGATGATATGCTTTTATTTTCCGTTCTGGATATTTAGTGAGTCACTCTCAGTCATATGGGGCGTGATAATTTTGCAAACAACATATGTATAATATATAATTTGCATATCAATGTATTCTTTACCAACTTAAATACATTACCTCTTTTAAGAACTATGATAGCGTGGCGAATGGTGGCCTTATTCAAGATTTAGGGCAAACAATTGAAAATTTCCCCAAATAAGCAAACTATAATATAATTTGCATATCAATGTATTCTTTACCAACTTAAATATATTACCTCATAAAAGAACTATGATAGCGTGGTAAATGCTAAAGTTAATCAAGATTCAGTGCAAACAATTGTCCCCATATAAGAAGAAAAGGGAAAATGTACACATACTCCAAAATGTAAATGTATGAATTTTGGAGATTTTTAAAAATACAGATGACTATGTACTACAGGGCACTATTATATGAGCCAGAAATATATAAACTTGAGAGGTCACTTGTTAGACCTGATTTCAATGAAATATAAAGATTTATTGTCGGGTTTATTGTACATACACACATTTCAACTACTTCAAAACATCCACCAAGTCAAGTCACATTGGTTTGAATCAGTATTATAAAAGAATTAAAGCGTGTAACTAAATGAAATGTATTCTCCTGGATTTTAAATAACTATTTTAAATAAAATGAAAAATTAATCATTTTTTCACTGAGTGACAATCACGTGTTTTTATCTTTTGTAATTTAAGAGTATAGCAGTTTAACAATCCAAAACACTGTCACCTTAGAATATTATCACATACAAAAAAATAAACAGGCCTGTATATACTTGATGGCACATCCCATTATTTTATTCTCAATACATGTGCAGATAAAGACACAGAACCAAATTAAGAAAGTACAAATAAAAAGTAAAATATTTAGCTTACTATTTAGGACATGCATTAAGTAGAGAGAATAGACGTGTTGAGAGAAACTTAGAAAAGTTGTGACGATTTCACAATATTATTCCCAAAATATTGATTGAAAATATTGATTCTGACATTTTACTATCCCTTCTAATTCCTTTAATGACTCAGAGTCCACATTATAAGAAACAAAAAAAGATGATAATAGTTGAATCTAAAACATAATTGCAAGTTAAGGAGAAAGATGGACAAAGTGTATTTTTTGAGATGAACCACAAATTTCAAGTATTATACGAGTATATCAAATAACCCAAGATATTGTCTTGTCTTGTTTTAGTCTTGTATTTTGCTCCACATGTGTAACTAATAGGCCACAGAGATGGTACATAATGAAACTGGCATTTAGGGTACAAACACATATCTAGCCTAGTGACCCTTAACAAGGCATCATATACACCTTAACTAACTACAGCATCAAATATGATAATGGACAAATATAATACAATTCATATAAATAAATGGTAAAATGTCTAACAATAAAATAATATTAATAATGTAACTTATAAATCAATTTTTTGGTGACATGAAAAGTTGTATCATATGGTATTTTTAAGAAATGAATGATCACATATTTAATGAAAACAAAAATGAAGACCAAACTATTAAACCTTGAAATCCTATCATCACATGCTGGTATCGAAAGATTTGTCCACTGTGACGGAGCATGCTATTTTTCATAAAAACACTAAGAATACTTCACGATTTATGTTTAACTCATATGTTTTGTTATATCAAAGAAAATTACTTACTCCATACAATGGATATATTATTTGCGGGTAACCTTCACTTCTGTTTGAAGTTCAATAACGCTAGGAGGAAAAGCTATTGCAAACGTCGCCAGAGTATCAAATTCTAATATGTACCATTTATTTTATTAACAGCAGTTTCACACATATTTGCAAATGCTCCGTCAAAGCAGACAAAAAGTTTAAACATTATTTTTTTATAAAAGGATTAAAAAGACCAAACACATCAACATCTCATTACACCTTCATAGTTATGCTGAAAACATATGTAAATATTATTGCGTCACTATATAGTGCCATTAAAAAGTTAAACAAGAAATGGTACATTTTGGAGTATGATACTCTGGCGCCATTTTCAATAGCTTTTCAAACCTAGCGTTATTGGACTTAAAACAGAAGTAAAAGTTATGCGCAAATGATTGATCCACTGCATAGAGTAAGTAATTTTCTTTGGTATAATGAAACACATGAGTTAAAAATAAATTGTGTGGTTTTTTAGTGTTTTTATGAAAAATAACATGCTCCGTCACAGCGAACAAATCTTTCGATACCAGCCTGTGATCATAAGACCACTAGGTCAAAGTTGAAGTTCAGACAAATGAGAAATATTCTAATACAGGCATCAATTCAAAATTTGTCCATGTTTAACTTAATCCAGGCCTTACCAATAATAAAACACAAATGAATTTTGAATACAGGGATTAATTATTGAATAACAAAACCTTATAAAGTTTACAAGAATTTTTGACATTTCCACCCCTAATTTCAGAGTAAAACAAATAATTGCTATTCTGATATTCAATTCACATAAATATGCATTTTAGATTTACATCAAAATGTGTTGCAAAATGTTTTTATAATACATGTTTGCAATTTGAAATGTTCATTACAGTCCTACAAATATAGTATTGGACTATATAATACATGAAATTTAGTACATGTGCAATGCATGATGTTCTCCAAGTAGTCAAAAAAAAAAGATTCAAAATCACTTGTCCAGTATAACAAGGTCTGGGTTATAATTAGCTAACCAACTCAAAACTATTTTCCAAATGGAGTTTATATGTGAGAATAACCAAGTACTAAATGTTTTCATTCGAGTACACTGAACATATCGTTGATTTAACATAAGTAATGTATAATTTCTCTCAACATGTCTGTCAATAACCCGAGTGCCACGTAGTAACCAGATTCGCCACCAGGTGGTTAAATCGGGCCAGATAACATGGTAGATATAGAACCTTAAATTTGAATTTAATAAATAGGTTTGGTGGATCAATTTTCATCTCACCTTTTTGAGCTCATAGGATTATGCAAATCACATTTATTTTTAAAGAAAATGAAAATTTAAATGTTGATAAACAATTTTTGAAATGATATTTCTAAATGTCATTTTGAATGTAGATTTCAAATATGATATCCCTTTGACAAAACTTTGATCATTAATATAAATGATAAAAATCAAGATTATTCGCTCTAGTGTCTAAATAATTGGTTTTTCTTGTTATGGTTATCATACAAACAGGTTCTCAACAGGGTTCAACCAAGAGGGGGAGAAACCCCAGGGTTCAAAGATGACATATGCTTATAATGTAAATCTGTATTGAGATGACATCGTCGCTGATTGGTTTAGTGAGTCGATCGTTGATTGGTTTAAAACTAGGTCAATTTGAAAACTTTGAAAACCAAGATGGAGGGAAGTATAAATATACGTACTTCCGGGAAAGGAGATGCACGAAGGAGGAAATCGTATGTCATCAATTGAATCATGGGGTTTTCCCTCGTCTTGGTTCAACCTAATTCCATTTTACAAACATTTTTTATCACTTTAGCTTATACAATGTAGAAATTTCAAACTGATAGATTGACCTGGTAGAGACAATAGAAATCATTCAAATATTACAACACGTGTGAATCTATCATTACCATTTTTGCAAATATACTTTGCGCATACAAGATCAGTTAAATTCACATGTGATCGCTTACTGGCCATGAAAGAACACAAAAATGGTAAATGGAGATCTAGTACCATAGACACTTTTTTAGTAATAGGACTTCAGTTTTTCACTTCAAGCTTACTGTTTTCATGGACGACTTTGCCTTGACCTATGATGTCGAAATTAGATTCATTTCTACATAGTTACCTTTGTGATTTGCATGAAGAACTATTCACACTGTTCTTGTAAAAAAATTGAGGTTACAGTTAAATCTCATTTAAAATTCATTATTTCAAATCGCAGGAAACTGAGAGAGTGATTTACAAAGTGTATTAACAATAAGGAGCAGACAATGTTGACAGAATGACTAAAATTCTTCAAACCCGAATAAATAAGTCTAAGGGACCAGGACAATACCTCAATATTGCCCAAAAACATAATTAATCACATTTCAAATTGACCCCTACCCCCAAAAAGAGTAATCAAACAACTATTGATTTCTTACAAATTAAAAATCTATATACGTAACTAAACATAATTTTAACCCTCTCTTCTCTTGTAGTAATCAATTCTGTTTGTGGACATGCATTCATATTATCCTTAAGGCAACAAATCATGTCCACACCAGTGCCCTATAATACATATTACATGCTCTGTGTCCAATCTCGATTATATCATTGATACTATATGTAAATAACAGCTATTTTTTGACAGTTCAGGAGCAACATAACTTTGGGAAAGCTCAACATTTTGAGATTATTTTAATCTCACATCCATGTTTTCGATTAAATGTAGAATCGGTCATAGAGCATGAAAGCAAATTGATGCTGTAACATCCACTTGAAATTTTGAAGAGACTTGGACACGCATAAAAATCATTTGTAAGCTCTTCAAACGAGAAATTGTAAAAATTGGCATATTTGACCAACTTTGTTCAGAATTATGAAACTGAGAATTTTGACCAAAGATACATTTGTAGATGGGAACCATGTACAGAACATGGATGTATTTCCATGGATCTTAGATTTAAACTGAAGTTTTAAAAACAAGTATGCCAAGGAACAAGGAATGATGAGCCCATAAAAATCAGACATGTTTTGAAAAATCTGATCTCTATTGCCGATTCTACATTTAATTTACTGTACATGTGTATGCATTTTTGCAGCGATCGAAACATTGATTTACCATTGATGACCTGGCTGCATCGTAAAAGCTCTCTTCCAATATCATATCTTGATTATATGCTGACATTATGTTAATAGTTACACTTCCTCACAAAGTCCATTTGAGTTTATCTGCAGCCATTGAAAATATTAAACAAAGTTGCAGTTGTCTATTTGAAACAGTAACAGCTATCCATGCGCATTCCTTCAATTATTTTAGTGTAACACAATACTATGTTCCATTCCTAACTGTCTGTAACAAGTTGTAGCCCTGTCAATACAATCAAATAAGTTGCAACTATCCATATATTCAGAAAAGTCGCAGCTATCTATAGTTATGCTGAGTAAAGTTGCAGCTATCCACCATTGGTACATTCAACAAAGTTACAGCTATATTATATTTGATACAGCCCATGCTGAATGTCAACCATGTTTACAGTCTCACTGATTAAAGTTGCATATATAGTTGAAGTAGGCAGGTATGTACATTTGAGGGAGTTGATGGGCAGGGGGTAGGTGTCAGTTATGTTGCTTCTGGAGCCATTGCTACACTGGAGTACTACAACCTGAGTCATGTGCACCTATAATGTATAAAATAGACACCTTATGAAATAAAGGTATAACATTTAGGTTATGATACCTTATACAGGGTGTCCCAGAAGTAATGATAAGTATGCTCTAAAATTTTTATTTGATATGGGAACCATATGAAATTCACACAAATTAAAGATCAAGATGTAAGCTTCATTTTACTATATTACATTTATTACTTTACACAAATATATTCAATGTATAGTTGCCATAGCAACATGTAAGTGCGTTCTGTGGAGCAGCTGTGTTTTTCATACATTTTTGAAAAACATTTCATGTTCATATGTTTCCCTGCTGTTCACATCACTACTGTAATGCTGCTACTTCATTCCTGATATTCCTTAAGAGCATTGTACATTGTTGATTCACTTATCCACATACTGTCCTTTGCTGGAGACAATTTGTCTGTGCCTTTCCAGCCAGGATTGGAAGACATGATCAAAACCACTGTTGGACATATCCTGCAGAGCCAACTGAACCGAGCAGCGCAATTGTGCCTCGCTCTCGTGTTTATGCCACCTATACACAGTGGGGTTGGACAGTCTTCTCTCACCATATGCTTGTTTAAACTCCTTTATAGTGTCACTGGGTTTACCCCCTGTCTTCTGAAGGAATTTTATGACTGCTCTCTGCCCTAATTTTTCATCTTTGCTCAACGTTGGTGGCATAATGTACACCTCCCTGGAAATTTCTAGGTTGTGTTCCTTTTGTGAAACCCTATATGACATCATCATGTGATGTCATAATATCAGATTAAAGTGATAATCCTGTCACAATGAGATAAATTACATAATATTAAACCACTATGACATCATGCAACTGTATACAATTACCATAACAATGATTTAAAAGCTTGAAACATTATCACAGAATAACTGCTTTTCTAAACTAAGTTTGAACATTTATAATATACGGAAACTGCTCCGCAGAACGCGCATACATGTTGCTATGGCAACTATACATGGAATATTTTTGTATAAATTCATAAATGTAATACAGCAAAATGAAGCTTATATCTTAAACTTTAATTTATATGAATTTCATATTGTTTCCTTGTCAAATAAAAATTTAAGAGCATAATTATCATTACTTCTGGGACACCCTGTACCTTAAGGTTTTCCTAACTAGGAGTCAGTAGGAATTTCAGAGAGAAATAGTTCACACTGAAATATGAATGTAATAGAGGCGTATTACTATAAAGTGGATGTCCTTCATACAAATTTTAGTGTGGTTGTCAAGAACAGACACAAAAATTGAATTTTTTGAAATTGGAAATTTCGTAGTGATGCATTCCATAAAAGAAAACTCCATGGCTCATACAAATCAAAGGGTTAACAATGAAAATACAAAGAATACCATCAACACTTACTTAATGAATGGCTACTAAAATTTGGGCCCCAGATCCTGACTGTACCATCATCTGATGTACTAGCAAGCATGCTGGGAATTTTTGGGTTCCAGTGGACACAATTAACAGTGCGTGTATGCCCTTCAAGTACGGCAACTGCCTCTTCACGTTTATTGTGCCATATATAAACTTTTTGGTCTACAAAATAAATTTATGTGTACTGAACAGTACATGTTGCAAATCTCATACTACATGAGTTAATCATCTAGATTTTTAGAAAACATTTCATATGCATCTACTTGTGAGTGGTGGGCTTATAGATCACTCAGTAGGTCAGTTATAACTGGAGTGATTAATATGTCATTATAATGGCATCAGAGAGTCAATAAGAGATATATGTATATACTGTATATATATAACAACTCCACAACTTTGAACTTAACTAGAAGTTTTGAGTAAAAACTTAATGGGCATGTTAACTCCAGTGGATTTTCCATGTGAGTTTCACAACTACCACAAGATCTGATGTAAACTTGGATCATCGTATATTATCAATTTATCTCAACAACTTCAAGCTGTCTGGTCTGTTTACAACATAATGATTAAGAAAAAACTCACCTTCACTGCCACTTGCTATGAAGTCTTGATTGAGTCCCCCAAAGCAAGAATGTATTGTATAGAAGCCCTGGGTTAAACCTTGGAATTTACGCAACAATATTTTATCCTTTAGGTCCCATAAATGGACACCCTGAAATATAAAAATTGACATATATCAGTAGAATCTTCATTTTTTCAAAAATGTCAGACTGGTAGATCTTGGTCAGATCATGCAAAACCATACCCGCAGTATGCTTGTTAATATCCTAACAGTTAACACATCTGAAATATCTGTGGAAATGATTCAATTTTTTTCTTTTTAGTCTTACGAACTACTATATCAGATATTCTCAGTACAATACATTCCATAACATTCACAATTTTTTTAAAAAGTCAAGTCAGTGGCAATACAGTCATTTAGTTAATGTTACAAGTGTCACCACATAACAGTTTTCTCATCGTAAACATGTGACCTACCTGGGTGGCTACATTAAGGAGGGCTAAACGGCCAGTATCATTGGTTGTGAATGACATTATTGGCTGATCCTCAGAGAGTCTGAAACAAATTAATAACAACACCTCATCAATACCTGTATGCATCATATCTCATTGCAGTAGTGAAAACACTGAACAAGGCATTAACATGCAAAATTTCACAACCTGCCATTTGTTACAGACAATGACCAACGAACGCTGTTACAAACACCAACTGCCGAACATTCACCAAAAAAGTTGGAAACTTAAAGCATATATCATCCCTTCTTTTCATAAAAAACTTAATGTCTTGGCAAATCTAAGAAATTCTGTTTGTGTGAAGATTTTAGTTGCCGAAAATTCTAAATCAGGCTTCATAATAAGTTTTAAATTAAAAAGAGCAAACATTGTCAATAACAGAGAAAAGAGATGCTATGCAGTTGCAGTACAAAACATTTATTTGTTTAGTCATTTTTACATAAGATCTGGTGAGATGTGCAGTTAATTATTTAATTTCTGATTGTTAGAACTTGGTACAACTAAAACAGTGATCTCTCCAGGGATTTTTCTCAATGGGGTGCTTAATCCTAATTCAACCTACTTTGGCCAAAATATATCTTAAAATATCCTGATACAGTGATACACCTCTGTATTAGTGGAACATCTCACAAGTGGAATTGGTTTTGAAATGTCCTGCGACCCGTTGACTCCATGTAAGTGGAACATATCGCAAGGGGGACGCTTTTTTGTGGTCCCAAGGGTGTTTCAAAAATGTGACAAGTATTTGAGAATTTTCAAAAGAATGCAGCCCAAGTTGCTCAAGTTTTGGGGAGACCACTATGCATTATACAAATTATGTTAAGATCCGCCATTGTTGGAATGTTTTAGAACTGGCCAGTGTAAGTTCCAATCTAAAAAGATGTTCAAGTTACAAACATATTCGTAAAATGAAACCAAACCTGGCAATGTATTGCTCACACACTAATTAACAGGTAGGAATCTACATACATTTATATTTGAACCAACCTCATCAATAAGGACACAATCAAATAAGTTAATACATTAATACTACAGTAGTACGATGTCATCCTGTTCTGGTAGACATCTGACTCGAGTGTCAATCTCTCCAACTCCATTTTACAAGGTGTAAAAGAATTTGCTATTGGATGTGGTAACTGGAGTAAGATACAATAGAAAGACTGGGGGGTATTTGGGGGATTTGATTAGAAGAATGTGTTAGTGATCGTGAAAAGATGATGCATAATTCTAAGCAATTAAAACCCGTTATTGTTGATTCAGAGTAATGTAATGATACAATATAGCATTTCATCTATAAAAATAAAATACATATCATAATATTCATACATGAGCACTTAAAAATCAAGCAATGGTGGCATAATTTACCAAAAGGCAATTATTATACCTCTGATAAAATGCTTAAAATTCATTCAAAAAAGAATAAATAGTGAGCAGTTCAAAAAGCAAAAAAAAGAGAAAACTCGTATGGACTATATGCATTCAATAATATGTATGACTTATGTTAGTGTGTAGATAGGACATGTGGTCAACGACATGAAATCAAAACATAATACTCATGGAAATATATAAACATTGGCTCATTGTAAAATGAATTTCTAAGATACACACGGTGAATACAGTTGAAACCTTTAAAATTACTGCCCCTGGTCAGCCATGCTGATCTCATCCCCAGTTCTCCATGAATGCAAGGATAATTTGTTCCATATATGGATATGATATACATGGATATATGGAACAGATGGATATATTCTCTGGTACATAAATCCATATCAAGTCCAACTTATCTGAAGGTATATACTGACCTCCCCCCCCCCGTAGAAAGGCATTTTAAACATGACCGCCTTGCCCCCTTGTATCATATAACCCATGGCACTAGCAACTCTGACCACTTGTCCTGAGAATGGTGTAAATTGGTGATGTTATGGTTAGATACTTAGCAGTGCCTAGGAAGAGACTGGCACTCAATTAGCGCAGTCCAAGCCTTATGAATGTGGTGTGCCTTGACCTTGTGGAAATCACAAACCAGCATTTAGCCTGAATCGACTAAACATACAGCATTTCATATGACCCATATTTTGCACATGTTCATTTTTCTTCAAAAATAATAACATTTGGCCAATTCAAAATTTAGAAGTCCAAAATATTACATTTCCTCCAAATCCAAACAAAAATATAAAACATTATCAGTACATGGGTAGAATTGGCATACGGAATGAAAAAATGAACTTGTGAATACATCTGAACATATTAGATCAAATTATAAGTAACGACTGCACACATATGCATCATATGAAAATGCTGTACATTCAACATGAGCTAAACTTTGATTTTGACGTCACCTGAAGGATGTACCTATACTCACATATTTTGATCTGACATATCATTAAAGCAATAGGCTCGCACTCTCTTTCGAGAGTCTGCTGCCAGGACACGCTTGTCAGGTAAACACTGTAGACACTGTACTCTGATTCCTTCCCACGATTCTAATACATTACCATCTAAGTCCTAGAAGTAAAGATCTGGTTATAACATACACCTACTGACCTTTCCTATTACCCAGGGGCAGTTCTTTCCTAGTCTATCTATACATACAGTGGAGACTACTCAGGTCATATCTATGAGGTTAATACATCACTTTTGATCTCAAATGTGAACGAGTTGACAGATTTCTGGCATTCCTGTACAGTAATGAGTGTCCACTACATCATGTGCATAATCTTCATGATGATCACACCATTGTTTATTCCAATATGTATTTTGAAACATGACAAGCATGATGTATTATCCACATGACACATACAACCCAGTAGATAGCACACTGTCCAGTAAAGAAGACTAGGAGTCCCAGTGCCCCTTCCCCTGCTTTCACCCCCTACCCTGTCCCCACCCACCCATACTTACAACGCTTGCTCAGTAAGTTCCTCAAAGTTGTAGCGACGTATACGGTGGTGTGTATCTGACGCCAGGATGGTTTTCCTATCACAATGGTATTGCACTGAATGGACTCGTACACCTTCCCACGAGTCTAAAATATTACCGTCTAGATCCTGCAAAATGCCATGGCACTCCATACATTATAGTAGAGCCCTTGTCGAGAGGCTCTTTTGAAAATACAATAATATTTTACTTTCTCCATCAAATAATGTAATGCAATTAAATGCATGCTCATTTCTAAATATCTTTAAAATAAATTTTACCTCATTTATTTTTATCGTTTAAATGAGCAGACATGTTATACATTAAAAAGAATTCACATTAGATAGGTTTTCCTGTAAAATTAATCAGTTCAAGTTAGCCTCTCTATAGCTTATATTAAACTGTGTATACTGAAATATACTGATACTTACACACTGATAAAATTGACCTCTAGTGCCACCTGTTATGAATTTCTTGCCGTCATAATGAAAGGCTGCACATGTAAGACTATCTTCTTGTGATTGGCTCATTTTGGCTCTAAGGTCCCCAGTCTGAATTCAAGATAACAGGTGGAAAATATAAATGACACAAAATCTCAAAATAAAAGATTCTATATTTCCATAATTTTCCAAGATCAATGTTTTTTTTAAAAATACTGTGATTGGCTCATTCTGACTCTAGGGTCCCCAGTGTAAATTCAAGATTCCCGTTGGAAAATATAAATGATGCAAAATCTCAAAATAAATATTCTATATTTCTTAAATTTTCCAAGATATAGGTTTTATAAATCTTCAAATTGTCTCCAAGTTTCTTAAACCTAAAATCAAACCAATATAGGGCTTATGCATTTGGTGTGAGCATCCTACATACCAGTAATGAATCTGTTGCAGATCTCAAAATGAAACTAGTTCTAAGTTTCCTAAACCACAAATAGGTTTCTTTTCTTCCAAAATAGAACTGATCTTCGACTTTAAATGGTTCAAATTATTCCACTCTAGGTTTTCGTTTGTATACATATCACTTGTATATCCTAAAATCTCAAATTGTACCTCTACATTCCATATCCAGAGCTCTGAGCAGTCATCAGGACCACATGCCACTATATAAATATTGTCAGGACTCCATGCTATGTAAGACACCCCATAGTTATGGCCTTCAAATGTTCGTCTGAGCTTCAAGTTGTATGTGTTCTGTGAAAATAGAGTGTCATAATTGTTAAGAAGATATAATCTACCATATACTTTTAAAATAAAGATGAATTATTTATACCAAATAGCAATACTGCTAATAAGGGTGAATGTTTTCACAAAACTCTTCAATCCTAAAATGTGCAAAAGTATAGGCTACGAGTTCTATAATTTGAGGTTCTTACATTATGTGTAATGACCAGAATTTGATCATTTTTCAGATAGAGGCGAATTTGTGGGGATGTTGGAATAACATTGTAACTAAAGGGTTTTCCCAAAGTATAATTCTTTATTGGATAGAAAATATGATAAATTTTATAGTGAACTCTACCTGGTCAACGTCCCAGATAATGAGTGTCCCATCTTTTGACCCAGTAGCAAGTTTGGTGCCATCTGGTGAGAAGCGACAGAACCACACCTCGTCACAGTGATCATTGAGCACTTGTGTTGTGGTACAAGGGAAGTCCTCCCTGCAAACATGATTTATTTTTATGAAATATTTCTTAAATCTCGATTTAATTTTTCAAAGCATCATGTTTTAGATCTAGTTAAAATATAGACTAGAGATAATTTTCAGAGAAACAGTCAGAAAAGGTGGTCAGAGATAAAAATTTAAGCTGAACAGTGGTATTTTAAGTAGAAGTGAAATAAGACAAACATTTAGTCTTGTTTGTAAAAATGATAAATTATGTGTTGTTCAGACCCTAGTTGCTTGAATATAACATGTGGCATAGCCCAAGAAATTTCTTTGTAATGATCTGAGATGGTATTTTTCAATATAAAGCTTTATGATTTAGTACCTGCTACATATATGGTCCATGAGCAGGGACACAGCATCAAGATTATTGTCATATTGTGTGTTATGGTACGGACATCGGTCCTTCTGAAGATCTATGGCTTGATTTAGCAGTGTGAGCAGACGGCGTGGAGGGAGCATGACAGAAGGCGGAAGAAATGCTGGAAATGAAATAATAAATGCTCAATATCTGTTGCTTTTATAACAAAAGGTACTTAGTATAGTTTTTTTACTGCAAAGTCAGTGTAATAATTGACTAGTTTAATGAATATGATATCATAAGCATATTACCGAACAACATTTATTCAAAACACTTCTGTCTTAAAGTATATGTTGGTTGAAACTATATTAGTTTTCTGTATTTCATAATATTCACAAGTTTTCTGCTTTTGATTGCAGAATTTTGAGATATTTGTATTATAGAAGGGCCACTTCTCTTATCAATTATCAAGGATTAACATTCCATACTCTCCCCGTCTACAACTTTATCATGAATATACTTACATTGTAGCTTTTCGATTAATTTTCTCCTAGAAGATTGACCCTTGCCACTCCAATTTGCCATTTCACGCAGGTCCTCCGGGTTACTGCACATCATATAACTGCAACAGAAATGCAATAACAACATTAATTGTTTGATCAAAAGTGTAAAATCTGGAATGCAAATTTTGTACATACACTGTACTGTCTTATTTCCACTGGGAATGTACAAATTTTCTGGATTATATTATTGATCATTTCTGCAACCAAGATCATATATTCAAAGAACAATTATTATGATAATTTAATGCTTTGAATTTGAAATGAAAAAAAATCTGAGAGCTTAAGGCATCAACTTACGTGCTGAGTTCATGGACTCTCTGTGTGTTAAACTTGAGAGGGGTGAGTTCATTACGGAGACAATTCAATGCCTCCAGTACTCTCCCATCTTCCAAGTATTCCAGGTACTTCTGTTCCAGCAGCAGGAACCGCATCTTTATAGTTCCTCTACTGCACTCTACAAGTGACTTTAGCTCATTCAGACCACTGTCAGCCTGAAATCAGATTTTGTAGAATGTGTTCAATAAATGGGCACTAAATTACCCAACATTTTTTTAATTCCTGGATCCCAATAGCATGCAATTAAAGAATTTTCATGGTCATGTATCATGGTATCCAAGCATTTTTCAAAAAACAAATATTTACAGAAATAAAGGTTTGTAACAAAGGTTCAACTTTGAAGTATTTTTGGATCAGATGTGGGCAGAGCATGTTAAACTACATAACCTTATAATGAGCCACAACATTTTAAATTAATAACAAGCCATTAATATGCAAAATGTCACCACCAGCCATTTGTTACGGATGCCAAATACAGACCGCTGAACATCAACCATCAAACACCATCCACAAAAAGTTGGAGAGAATAACAATATTTCACCACTTGTGGTAGTGACATAACAAACTAGACAACAGCAACGCCAAAGCGTAGCAAATCCCATTGAACAGCCATGGCTGGCATTTTTACAAACAAAGTATATAGCAAAAATGGCAGCCATTTTTCAAAATGGCCACCTTCTATCAAAAGTGGCATGCTCAAAGTATTCACATACCAAATATGGACAAAATCACTCCATCACTTTTCGAGTTATAGTAAAATCCGTTAAAATGGCAGCCTTCAACCAAAAGTGTCATTAGACATTGTGCCATGCTTATAGTATTCACATATCAAATATGAACAAAATTGCTCCACTACTTTTCGAGTTACAGCAAAAATTGTGAGTAAAGGCCGCCATTTTTCAAGATGGCTACCATGTGCTTCTTTAATATCTACATTTATATATATATATTTATATAATGTTTTTACATTTAAAACATATTTCTATTAGTTTTACATATTGCACCTAAATTACTGTAAAATCGGGACTAAAATGGCCACCATTTTTAAATGAGCGACCATTTTGAAAATCGGCTTTTGAGCAGAACTTCTACCCCCATAGGGTATATGTGCACAAAATATGAACAAAATCGGGCCAACGGTATTTGAGTTATTGCCCGTACGGACGGATGGAGGTGTTCCTTATATCCCTCCAAACTTCGTTCGATGGGATAATTAGACAAGAGACATCACATAATACTCAACAGCTAAAAAAGAAAAATGTCAATAGAACAAGATACAATAGTCCAAGCTTGCAAATGAAGAGAAGAAATTACTCTTATATAAGGCACATATGTCAGTGTGTTTCTATTCCCTTGTCTCAAAGCTGTCTAGTATCAAATTGTATTCAATGTTATCACTGAACTATCCATACACCATGGGATAGAGAGATACAAATGGAATATGATATTCAACAGTTGTTTTCCAAGAGATAATAACAAGACACACAGTGATAAATATCGCACTTTGAAGAGCAAACTGGCCACCATGCAATTTACCCAGCAAGGCCAAAACCTAATCAGACCTTGGCACTAGTCTGCTCTTGCATCTGTAAACATTTCAAGTTGACAAGGTTAGCGGTTTTCCTGCAATTTTGATGACAAGAATTTATTTGTAGTCTTGAACTTTGGGAAAATTTAGATAACATTGTTTGTGACCTAATTTGATGACCTTCGACCTTGAAAATTTCACTTTTTCAGACCTCAGTAGGTGTTTTGTAATTAAGCTGACCTAAATTTAAATCCAAAATATCAATTTAGAAAATCAAATTTTTGACCTGTTCAAGGTCACTGAAGGTCAACGAAAGGTCAAATCTGAAATCTAAGGTCAGATTTGAACTTCTGAGAACTTGTAGATGTTTTAAAAAAAAAATTTGGTCAATTTGGAGCAAGTTGAAAAATTCAAAATGGCCGCCAAATTGAAAAATTCAAAATGGCCACCATGTAATTCAGCCAGCATGCCCAAAACCTAATCAGATCTTGGCAATAGTCTGCTCTTTCATCTGTAAAAATTTCAAGTTGAATGGATAAGTGGTTTTCCTGGAATTTTGATGACAAGATTTGTTGAAAAATTCAAAATGGCCGCCACGTAGTTTACCCAGCATGCCCTAAACCTATTCAGATCTTGGCACTAGTCTGCTATTGCATGTGTAAAAACTTCAAGTTGAACAGGTTAGCGGTTTTCTTGGAATTTTGATGACAAGAATTGATTTGTAGTCTCAAACTTTGAGAAACTTGGATAACATCATTTGTGACCTAGTTTAATAACCTTGACCTTCGACCTTGAAAATTTAACTTTTTCAAACCTCAGTAGGTGTTTTGTAATTAAGCTGACCTAAATTTAAATCCAAAATATCAATTTAGAAAATCAATTTTTTTTACCTTTTCAAGGTCACTGAAGGTGAATGAAAGGTCAAATCTAAAATCTAAGGTCAGATTCGAACTTCTGAGAACTTGTAGATGTTTTTAAAAAAAAAATTTGGTCAATTTGGAGCAAGTTGAAAAATTCAAAATGGCCGCCAAATTGAAAAATTCAAAATGGCCACCATGTAATTCAGCCAGCATACCCAAAATCTAATCAGATCTTGGCAATAGTCTGCTCTTGCATCTGTAAAAATTTCAAGTTGAACGGATAAGTGGTTTTCCTGGAATTTTGATGACAAGATTTGTTGAAAAATTCAAAATGGCCGCCACGTAGTTTACCCAGCATGCCCTTAACCTAATCAGATCTTGGTACTAGTCTGCTCTTGCATCTGTAAAAATTTCAAGTTGAACAGGTAAGCAGTTATCCTGGAAATTTGATGACAAGATTTGGTTTATGTCCCGCCCGCCCGCCCGCACGACCGCACGCCCGCCCAACAGCACAAGACGACGACAATATAGCACTTTTTCAAAGTGCGATAAAAAGGGGAAACTCTCACAAGTTTAATGTTTGATTAAATTTTAGCTTAGTTATACTCCTGCACCCCTCTCCACTTAAATTTAGTTATCATTGTCAGAAAATTCCTGAAAACCTGGAATTTTATTTGCAACATTTGAAAACAAATCATTTCTGGAATTGCTGTTCATCCTCTATGGCATTGACATTACAAAGAGTACAAAGTCTTTCCGGGACTGACAAACATTCATACCATCCAGTTTTTATTCGCAGAGGAGCTACGCCACATCTCACATAGGCTAGCGGTTTCCGATCCTGCATGGCAAGATGAGATGTGAGATTATTTCAGTTGATTAAGTGTTATTTGTATAGTAAATATATCAATATTTGAATCACATATGGTCACTTTAACAGAATTCACTATTTCATAAAAAGATCAATTCACAGTGCAGACAGCTCTAAAAATGAAAGATCAGTTTATGTAATGACAGACTTTCCCTTAATCTTTAGCATGACTAGACGATACATTACTCAAGAGATATGCTCAGTTCAATGAAGAATGTAAATTGGACTTTTGGATCTAATTAATGTATTGTCGTCTATGTAGAAAAATAACTTATAGCCAATGCTAAAAATACAAAGATAATTTCAATCCCAAACCTCTAATTCCTTACATTATTCAGGTGAAAGCTTTTAGGGCAAATTGTGTAAATTAGTAACCATATGCATCCTTCCTAATGTAAGGCACAGTTGGATTTACTGAAACTCAATGATTTGTTGTTGGTACCAGGTGAAGAGTAATAAGAAATGTCCAATATAGCTAGAATTTGTAATTATGTTTATATGTACACTGTATTTGAAATACTGAAGTTGACACTACATGTATATACCGGTACTATTGAACACATACATTCTAGACTTTGAGAGTTTTCTTTTTCAAAGTCATATCCACCATAACATGATTTAGATATAAATTAGTTGCGATTTTACCATTCCAAGTACAGAGTGGCCCCAAAAAATGTAATTCTAATTTTGGGTAACTCTATTCTATGTATTTGTAAAAATCACTTCTCTATTTATACCAAGGACGAATCAAAAACACAGGCCTGCCCTTGTCCTTTGAACTTCCTAGTTAGGTTTAACCCTAAACCACATATTTATCAACAAATATCACTAACTGATAAAGGACTTTATCTATGTAAATGCAATAAATGTATGGTCGGTTAATATAACATCATCTGCATTCTATGAAAAAACATCTGCAGTTCTTCAAAAAATTGATATAATATGTCACATTGATTTTCAAATGACAGCATATGAATCAGATTAGAAATTAGATGTAAATCAAGTAGCATGTTTATTATTAATTGTGCAAGTTATAGTTGTTTTTTCAGTCCTGGTATAGATAAAATTAATTTAAGATTTGAGTTACAGACTTCGAGCCCCTATATTATAATAGTTGAAAACTACATTATAAAAAACATACAGAGAGAATAAATGTATGATTTAAATTTTAAATGTACAATACAGTATTAATATTTGTTTTCATTGTGGCCAACCTGTTTTGTCCAACTGTAAACTAAAGCCATCTATTGAGCAAACACAATACTTTTATTGATTCAAACCAAATTCTAATAAATAGATACTTAAGGTGTTTCATTTAAGTTTTTCATTTTGAAAAAATATGTATGTGTATAAATGAAAGAAGTCAAAGAGTTCAAACAGATTTAAGTTTAACTTAAACTACTTTAAGGTATTAAATCAATTTAAAACTCAAAGAAAAAGATTGTGTTTGCCTTAAGTAGGAGCAAATAAGAAGACGTATTAAAAAAGTTACAAGTTAACTGGACAGTCTAATTTTTTCAGAAACTTAAAAAACAGGTGTGGACTGTGGACCATTTTCAGAACATGTAAAAATTGTAGTTGAAAATGTAAAGTGAGAGATTGATTAATGGAAATAAACCGCTATAGAGTGAGGTCAAAATGCTGGGACCCTGCCAAATTATACAAAGCCAAGACTGATAAACTCATAATGCTATAATAGAATTGAACTTTAAATGAAGCTTTGAACTTTTGGCTAGAGTGATATGAAAATAGATTTACATAGAAAATTCATAACAAGGCATTAACATGCAAAATATCACCACCTGCCATTTGTTACAGATGCCACAATTTGTTGCAGACAACATCCATGAAAAATTGGAGACTCTAACAATGTGTCAAGATTTCTGGTGGCGACATAAAAAACAGATTAAACTTAAGTTTTACTTGAACACCCATGGCTGTCTCTATTGACTTATTAACTCTATTGATATACACAGTCAGACATTTTAGTTTTCTTGGGAACACGACTGATGTTTTCATGTATGATTGATAAGTTGGTAGAGTTTTCATGACAGCATATAATAGGTAAATGCCCAGTCACAATCCATTTTCTTCATTGAGAACTAAAAAGCTTAATGTCAAGCTGAAATGGAAATTGTGTAAATCATTTTTCATTGACTCAAAACACAATGAATTAGTCATACAGTGATTAATATCTTATAGTAAAGAGCAAAATTCATATTGTGTTATTTACCCAACATGCCAAAAACCTTATCATATGTTGGCAAAGTCTGCCCTTGCATTTGTAAAAATTTCAAGTTGAACGGATTCCTGATCCTTGGAATATCCATGACAAAATTTGTTTGGCATCCTGCCAACCCAGACACATGTATCATGCCATCAGAACAAGATGACCATCCTCCGATCACAGGGCTTCAAAATCCAGAATACTTCTTTCTTTTTACCCTCTGCGATAAGCAGTTAGTATTTCCCGATTAAGAACTCGCAATTTGATTCACTATCGCAACATTGCGACAGCATTGTATATGTCATCGGCGCATAATTAGATCATGTGATTCAGTTTTAACAGGCCCTTCCAAATTGATTATAGCAGGGGGAAAGAAGGAGGTACAGCTTCTGGACACCTGCTTAGGAGGATGAAGATGACAAGAATGCAACACCTTTGTGTGGAAACAAAAACATCAACCAAGAATTGTAACCTGAAATAATTAGAACTATTTCAAGGAGGATTGGCTCCCAGGGACGCAACTCGATATTTTCCAACGATGAAAATTTCAGAATGTTGTTATTTTCTGACATTATAACTGACAATAAATTCATAATCAAGAGTCCAAAAGATTCAAACCAATATCTCAATCACTTCTTGTGTGTTTTGGATTTTCTTGTTTGGAAATAAGACCAAAACTCATGATTTAAATTCTTAAGTGAACAAAATGAAGGATGTTTAAATTTGAATTTTGTAATCACGACATCTCCATATATGGCAGAATATCGAGTTGGAACGCTTGAAGTCAGTCCTCCTTGGAACTAAGTCTTGCATCAAGTCTCACTATGTTTAATAGTATTAAAACATTACCTTTTCCCACTCTCCATTCATGATGTGAGATCTGAAAGTTGATGCTGCAGGATGTTCCAACATTGTGCCAGACTGGCGCATTAAATCATCCGCGGGACCACTGTAATGACAACGCAACAGTTATATACACATCCACACACAGCTAAAGTTTCTTTCATATGTTCCTGAATCAGGGCTACAAAATTAAGGAAAAAAGACAGACCAAGATTCTATGATTTTTGGCTTAATATATGACTGAAAATTTTATTCTGTTCATTGTTAAAAGACCGAAATCGTGTAGCATATTTAACTATCAAGGACAAAAATTTCCTTTTAAAAATGTGAAAAAATCTTGTCACAATCTACATGTGAACAAGATCATCTATTTGCACACCAATAGAGTTTAACATTATCCAAATTTATGAAGATATTTGATGAATCAAGAATTTTTTTTAGAGTTAACAGTGAATGGGGGGATTTAAATCTTCTTCCTGGGCCTGTGAAATAAAGTGTCTTTCATTTATTATCTCTGAATTAACTATAAAATGGTATCTAGCCCGAATTAGTACTGCCAACTTTATGTAATTAGAGCAATGAACTTATTGATTCTCAGCAACAAGTTTAAATTCTTGAATCTTTAAAAATGAAGAATGGTGTCAGCTGGGACAAATATTCTAATTTTAACGTATGATCCAGAATAGGTGTCACTCAGAGACGGGGTATAACATGACAAAAATATCCCCACCTGGTTGCAATTGCAAAAGTGAAATGATTTATTACAGATGCTAAACATTAACAAAGAGCAGGGTGTGTAGGGTCAAACTTTTTGGTGTAGCAAGCCTAACCAAATCCTATCCAAGCCTCAAAAATATCATTAAAACCTCAGAATTTAATTGCACCTGATCAGGGTCATGTATGGGTATGAAATGGTGTATAATTCACAATCAATTCATTTGATGTTACCCAAGCTTCTAGCTGGAAATATGCAGTAATAAAGATTAATTCATTGAGACAAATATGTCATTGAAATTCTTATTCTTACACAGACAGATTCAATGACAAAGATGGGTGTTTTAAACAGTTTAGCTTATTTAGCACCCGGTCTGGTGCCAAGACGTACCAAGATGGAACCTCAATTGGTCTTGGTACAAGTTAAGTCAGGCTTATTTAGTACCCGGGTCTGGTGCCTCTTAGTCTAGTACCAAGACAGAACCTGAAATGGTCTTGGCACAAGATAAGGCCATGTGATAATGTGGTGTAAATGGTAGACTAGAAAAAGGTGTCTGATCTTTTATCCAGTACTGTGACATTTGTGAAAATTGCATAGCAATATTGGATGCTTATGTTCGGATTCAATTTGATTCAATTGTGAGACTCTCAATATACACCCTGGGTATAGTCTGTCACGTGACTTCATGGATGACGTGTGCGCGAGTGATTCGCATTTTCTTTCGCTTGAGGTTTGTAATCACACTTTTTACATGTTTTAAGATTTTGTATCTCTGTGAAACTTGTCCCATACCATCAATGTCTGAAGACGATCTAATTCACCAAATATCTCATCCAAGCGTGTCCCGGTTAAAGAGAAATTCGCACTTTTGTGTCTCGCAAAATGACGTGTGCGCGAGTAAATCGAATTTTACGAAGGATGGGTGCGCGAGTCTAAAATATTTTTATTCACTTGAGACAATTCTGCAAGCTAAGGCAGAATACAACTCACGTGACATTTGTTTTTGTCATCTTAAAGTAGTATGTTAAAGAATAGTTTGCTATTTTGTAGATGTTTCATGTATGGCACATACATGTCTACGTTTAATGACAATAAATGTTTTGAAATAGCTTGTAGGGCTGTCCGGCATTGCAGGTGAATTAAAATTTGAACCAAAAATTGAATTAAATTTTTGGCAGTCTCATAAAACCGGCAGCATATTCATTTATTGACATCCCATACAAGGGGGGGGGGGGTCAGAGTTGTTATGTGGTTACTCGGCATCCGCCACGATCAGAACCATGTAAGGAATAGTAAGGGGAAGCCCATGATACCAAGTAATATCAAATAATTATAGGAGCTTCTAACTTCTTCCGCATCCCCACCCTTGGTATACGCAGCTGACAAAATGGATCGGTACGGGTCAAAAGCTGGACCGGTACGGGTTAATGGTTTTATTTGAATTTAAAACAGCTATAACTTGCTCAATATTGACTTCTTCGTATCTAAGTTGAAATATATGATCCCTCCAGCTTTTGACCCATACCGGTCCATTTCATCAGCTGCGTATACCAAGGGTGATCCCACATACTTTGTTTTTACAGACTCAGAAATCAATGTTCGCTATAAATGTAGCAATATAATATGAGCTTTCGTGTACTCAGATCCTCCATTTGTAAAAAAACAATTGAAGAACAGCATGATAGAAAGTCAAATACAAAATTGATTTGCGCCCAAAATAGTTTGGGTAATGAATTCCGTCACTACCATGCATTTGTCCCCAAAGCAAGGTATTCTGATGGGTAAAATCTTGATACCTCCCCCTCCCCTACTAAAAATGATTTGAATTTGGTTTAAAAATATATACCCCAAGAACACTTTAAGGTATCATAAATTATTGAGGTAGTTATTAGTTAGAAAACACTGTGCCCTTATAGTATTTATTACAATTCTAGAACAATTTCATGAAACGACTCATAAGGAAATTGTTTTTGTAACTGTTTATACATTTCACTTGTTATTATTAGTTTCAGGTATTTAATATGGATAGCCCAAGCACGAGTGGTTTAGAAACTACTGTCAGAAGTCTAGATGGCTAATTTTTGAGGGAGAAAGGTATGCTTTTCATATGTTTTTAAATCACCTTGTAACAAAATCAATATTGTGTCTAGCTTGCAGAATTGTTTAAAATGAATATAAATATGTTAGACTCGCGCACCCATCCTTCGTAAAATTCGATTTACTCGCGCACACGTCATTTTGCGAGACACAAAAGTGTGAATTTCTCTTTAACCGGGACACGCTTGGATGAGATATTTGGTGAATTAGATCGTCTTCAGACATTGATGGTACGGGACAAGTTTCACAGAGATACAAAATCTTAAAACATGTAAAAAGTGTGATTACAAACCTCAAGCGAAAGAAAATGCGAATCACTCGCGCACACGTCATCCATGAAGTCACGTGACAGACTATACCCAGGGTGATAACAAATATAAAAATTCTTCCATCATCTGGAAATATTCAACACCATTTCAGATCAACCTAAAATAAACACTGAAAAAGAACACGAATTCTGTTACAACTTTGTAAAAATGCCTTCGAGAGATTGGGAGAAACATTGTTCAGATCGAAAATGTTTTGCTGGACATAAACAGCTGGTATAAAGAACAACATGCAAAACAACATCATCATAGAAAAAAATCAATCAAAAATAAAGAAAATCTCACTCAAGTCCAAGGCCTTTCAAATGCTGCCCAATCAGACGGATAATGTCCTGATCGGTTTTGGATATATGTTTGAGTGTACATTGTCTCTCAGTTTCACCATTTGCCACCCCATTTGTAGCACAGGCTCCGTTTACATTGGAAGTTGAAGGTGGGGGCCCAGATTCGCCATTGTGTTGAGGGCAGCCATTCGTCTGCATATTCGAGGCAGAAAGACGGAGCTTTTTGCGCGGTGGGGACGAAATTCCACCGTCTTCCGAGTCAGAGGAGGATGCCAGTCTTGCTATACGCTGGCTGTGGTTTGTATCGGACCCGAATACAAAGCCACAGCAGAGAAATTCACCAACATTTGAGGCCAACTTTTCGTTGATTTTGTCCAAAAAATTTCTTCTTTATTTTGCTCGGTGACGTCACTTCTGATGCATGATGGGAGATTCCTATTTTCCGAGCACATTTCGTAGTTGATTTAATGCTAAAAGATTCATATTAATCATATTATGAAGTTTTAAATGTTCCTAAATAGTCTTAAGATGTATTACAATATATTTCATGGCTCTAGATAGTTTAGAAATACGTTAATTTGAGTGACCTACTTTTGTTGTCAAGACTTTCTAGCAGACGGGCACCTGCCAACTATAGATGGCGTGAAACAATCACAACCAAAACAGCACAATCAACATTGCTGTTAGAACCTGTAGATCAGTGATGATACAGGCCAGTGATGCTTTCCAATGTTGATATGTTTATTGATGGAACTATACCTGTCTACTTGTGTTGTCCATGTCTTACCCAAACCTTTTTATGGGGGGGGGGGGTTTTAATGGGAGTTTATCTTGTACCAAGACCATGCCAACAGGGAGATTTCCGTTGAATCATTTTCGTCTTTTAAAGGGGCTTTAAACCATCAGAATACTGGGATTGCATGATAAACACAAACTATGATTATCTATTTGAGTCACTCTTAACACCAAGCAGTAGAATTGTCATCAATGGTCAGATTATTAACTTAGGGTGTTTATTTGAACAATCGACAGATATATGTAAGATGTAGTCCTTCAGAATAGACAAATTATTTTTTTATTTTCAAAAAATTCTATATTCACATACCTATCAAATGATATGCAATTTGAAATTTCTGAATACAGGACTGCAGAAGCCAGAACTTTTATTTTTATTTGGTAACACAATCAGCAAATTACAGCTGTTGCAGATATTTTCAAATACAGTGGAACTAACGAACTAAACAGTAAAGTGGAGTGGAACACCTCTGCAAGTGGAACACCTCTGCAAGTGGAACACTTTTCAGAGTAACTAAGATCAATTGATTTAATGATAACTGAACCTCAAATGGAACACCTACCAAGTTGAGCACTTAGACAGGTTTAACTGTAGTTTCATCTTTGAACTTAATGTACATCCTGAATATAGGTCTACAAAACATAGAATAATGGACAATGCATTCACTTGCAAAATGTCATCACCTGCCATTTGCTACAGATACAGAATTCCGAACACCAAACACCAACCACTGAACACCATCCACAAAAAGTTGGAAACTGAATAACAATTTCTGACAATAATTCCTTTGTTTATGTTTAATTTAGGTAGCTATTCCGAATTCTGGACACATGCACAAATGGAAGACAACAAAGGTTTATATTATAGGCCTATAGTATATTTCATCAATGCTTATATTGTTATTAAAATTCAATTTTACAAGCACAAGTTTAACCATGGATCAAAATATATAGAACATAAATATTACACAATCCCTTCTACATGTTCTATACATGCATACTATCGAACAGATACCTTATAAAGGTCCTGTGTAATAATTCATTTGGTCATGTACATGCAACTTCTCTCCTAGGCTATATTGCAGCATTTATGTCATAGGCCTTCTACATGTACAAAGACACAGTAAAGCAATTTTATAATCATATTCAATTGCTTGACTTCTTGATGAGCACAATTTCCAGTAACTGTTACAATGAATATTGTAGTTTCAATGACATGAACGAAATTATATATGACGAAGAGAAATGCTTTTACATTTTGTTCCGTTGCTTGGTCACTCGGTTGACAGGGTGCTAAATTGCTGATGCAGGCATATGTAATTTATTCTTCGCCCCAGAGAACTAAAAAAGTACCTTTTACACTATTTTTGATTCTAGTTGACTAGATAAAGTATGTTTGCTATGAGAAATGTTCTCATACCATATACTCTCGGGTCCAAAAAAATCTGTGCGTCATATGATGGAAACCATACAATTTCATACTTTCAGGGTTTGATGCCCTATATTATACCAAAGATGTGTGTAAAATTTGGATATGGAACATTGAAAAAAACAAGAGATCAGTAACCATAGTGACCCCACAAATCACTGCTGCGACTTTTTTGGAACTTTTCCTCATTTTTGCAAGGCATCAAACCCCAAAAGTATGAATTTGTATGGTTTCCGTTATCAAAGGTTATGAGCATTGCATGTTGATGTACAGATTTGTTTGGACCAGAGGGTACACTGAAAACCTGTGCGATTCGAACTAAAAAGTTTTTGCTTGGGAGATGTTCTTCACACAGAGTTTCAAATAATATTGAGCCAATCAGTCAGAGGATTGAAAAATTGTCAACTTGTGAAAAATGTTCTAGTTTAATACAATAATAGGGTGTTCCACTGACAGTTTTTGCTGTATTCTACTGATGAAAAAGGTGTTCAAATAGCCAGGTTTACTGTGTTGTACATGTTGTCTCTATCTAGTTTATGTCCCCAAGCTTGTAAGTATAACATAACACTACACAGTCAATGTCTCAGTATTGACATCTACATAGATTTAAACACAGATTCAAGAGATCACATACAGTAAAACCTGTCTTAATGAACACATAGTGAGCACCTGTGTTTAGTGAACACCCACTTCAAGACAAATCTTACATTTATTCCTGTATAAAATCCCCTCTGTAGTGAACCCCTATCTACAGAGAACACATTTTTTGTGGATCCCAGGTGTTCACTATAAACAGGTTTTACTGTACTATACATTACTATGGTAGAGCCTATATATACCATACAGATATAAGCAGCAGTAGTTGACTATGAGCTTCTCATGCTCTGACAGTATACAATCTAGACTGAATCTGCTCAAGTCCATGTTGATACATTAAGTATTTCCATACATTCAAATTGGGATTATCATTTTAACATATCATCAAAAAACTTTGATTTGAGCTCTGTATTCTACTGTATTGTATAAATCAAATATAAATAAAATATCCACAGAAAAATGTGATAAATATTCAAACTACCTATGTCATCAATTTTAGGTAGTTTTAATTGTAATCACCATGGAAATAATCATAAAAATCATCACCATGTCTTGGTTGCATTCACATTTACAACTTCTTTACAACATTTAAGGAAGAATCTACATGAGGGAGTAAAAAGCATTTTAAATCTATAAATTCCCTACTTCACTTGGCTCATTTCCTTGACATGAAGACTATACTCAAACATAAAACAAGAATCAGATGAACAATGAAGGATGATGACAAAAATAGTCAATGTTCAGTTAATTAAGGCAAAATGTACTTTTTGGACATGTGTACTAGTGCTCTTCAGATTAAGCTTGATTAAAAATGGACACTATAGGTTATATATAGTGTATATACAATAACTGCATTCTAAAGTAAAGGACTGCATTCTGAGATCTCACTTTAATTCATGAATATTAAAATGTATTGAACAGCAGACAGTAAATGCTGTTTCTGTAAAAGTCATTTAGGCCATTTTGGGGACACAGATCAAAATGATGCTATACATTGTGTGAAAAATTACAATTTAAATGTACGTGACTTTGTATGGCAAATATTTATTTTTGGCTATGATTTAATTGTAAACATATATGATAGAGGCATAATACTAATTTGTAGTTTTGCATTTTTTTGTTGTTCTTTGGCTTTACAATTATTGGCACTTCTGTAGGCTTATGACAATGTATGTAAATTGTTACTGCTGTTTTGCCTACAGTTACTTTATCAGTCTTGCATCAAGTCTCAGGTCACCCCCCCCCCCGCAGTCAGTGATTATCTACATGCATCTTCACACCAGTGTCAATTATACAAAGTGGGTAGTACACATTCAGCTTGATGCAATTCTAATAAATTGATTGTTCTATTCAACTATCGATCTGGACCATTTCCCTGAAATATGCATATGCATGATCTGCCACTTTTCACTAACATGTGTTTTGGGAATGCATGTTCAGGTTGAGCTCATTTGTCAAATTATTTCATCTCTATACTGCTTAGAGTCTACTTGTCTTATGTCAAAGAGTCTTAATTCTCATTTGATGTTTGACAAGATAACTCCCACTTGACAAGATAATTTGTACTTAGACTTCAGTTTATACTGTTCCTTCCATGTTATGCCACAGAGTCTAATGTGAGAGATTTGAAGTTAGATGGAGGTGGCGGTAATTGTTCTAAGTTCTCATCCTCCCCTTCATCATCTGGATCTATCTCACCTTCAAACATTCTCTGCAGTAGCAGCTCTATGTTCTTACCACCTGAAACATGAACACATTGTTATTCATATACATGTGCTTCACATTTTCATATGCTCCTTGAGAATGCAGTCGGAAAGGGCTACATCAAGTAATCTGAGTGCTGTTGACCCTAGACAGGATTTTGAGTACTTTTTGACCATGGAACAAGTTGTCTCTTTTAGGCCCATGAAAATCGTGAAGGAAATTACATGCAACTACAATTGAATAAAGTCAATTGAGCTCTATACCAAGCAAGGTGCAATCACTCAATCAACCTAGTCTTTTTTGAAATGTTGATCAATTTTCAACATATAGTCAACCTGTTTTTTTCAATATTGGATAAATAAATACACATGGTTCGTCTGAAATGGTATAACTGTCTGAATTTAGTTTTGAGAATAAGTCCATATCGGCCTATGTAATTTTGTCTTTTTTATAATCCCACGGGATGAGTTGATTTTGAATTTTGATCTACACCCATGGATAAAAATCATATCCTTCAAAAAAGCATGCAATATAAAAACACTACAATATATCAGCATTTTATCATTTGAAAAATTATACCCACTTTTCTTTTTTAAATGAAACTTCAAATCTTTGTCTTTTTCCTCTTGAGTAAGATTATTAAACCAGGTTGTCAAATTCTCTGCGTTTGCATTTAAATCAAAGTGACTGAGATCCTGAGAGGTTAAGTCTATTTTTGGTGGTTCTTTTGTGGGGTCCTCAGTTACAGCAACATCTTGTACATCTGCAACAAGTTCTTCTTTATCTTGTTTCTTATGTTTGGATGTCTTCACCTTCCTAAAAAACAACATTTGGGATAGCTACATATTTTATTAATACAGTAAAACTTGCCTGTAAAACCTTTGATACTGGCAAAAAGTGTTCTGATTTGCAAGTGCTCACATTACAAGATTTTCATAATATGCAAGTCCATGGGAGATAACAAAATTTGGACCTAAAATAGGTGTTGCCAGGTGTTCAGATTAGAGAGGTGTTTAGATATACAGGTTTCCCTGTAAATATGGTTTTATCACTAACAATGACCTAAAGAAACATCTCTTTTTTCAAAGCCAGTGTATAAACATATAGGTGAAATGACTTGCACGTTAAATGAATTCTTCAATGACAGTTACAATATCTGGAAAAGAAATTACGATTTTGAAGTGTAAAATACCCAATTTAAAAAGAAAGCATTAGGGTAATTTTCTGATTTTTCACCTACAATTCCACCCAAAATAACTCTAGGTCAAGACCACTTTACGCGTATATAAAAATTATTATATTGAGTTCATGATTACTTACGGTCCTCCTGAATCTATCTGCATTCCCATCTCTGTAATCTTCTCCTCTATTGCACTGTCAAATTTGCCTCCTGATAGGCTGAACTCAAGGATGAACACCTCAAGGACAAACGCTGTGAATATACTGGAACAATAGTATATAATTTGTCATTATAGGATTTATTTATTTATTTACCTACATGGAAGCCAAAATTTAACTGAACAAAAAAAGATGCAATTAGTCTATCGAATTACAGTAACTATAGACTATAAAATGTATATGTTATTATCATTGTGATACCATGATCCTTTCTTTACCAGTCATAAAGCAACTGAAGCAAATTTACATTTAAACAAATAATTTTGACCAATCTGTAAAATGCATTAAAATCAGTTCTAGTATACAGAATAGTATTGGAAAACACAGATACTATTTATACATGTCATATTTTCTTGAGTACTATATATGTGCTATCATTATACTTACTTGAGTATATGCTTTTTGAGTACTGTAGTATATACTTACTTGAGTACTATGATGACACAGGCGAGATGAAAGCTGATGAAGTAAAGCCTGGCTGCCTTGTTTGTGACTGCAACAAAGCCACTGGTCAAGACTGGGTAAAAGTTAAAGAAAATGGCATGAGGGTCTAGTCGCTTTCAAAGTTAAAAATATTGACATGAATCAAGTTGAAGCACAGTTCAAATTCATAATGAGAATGAACTTATGGTCAATGCTTTACAAGATTATATGCATAATAGAAATATGAAGTCATAAAAAAACCAGAACAACGGCTGGCATTTTTACAAACGAAATATATAGCAAATATCATAAAACAACACACCAGAAAGGCCACCATTTTCAAAATGGTTAGCCAAGTTGTCATCAGAAGAAATAATATGCTTTTAGTAGCCACCTATAAAATTTTTGAAAAATCGCACACATGTACTTGTGAAATAAGTAAAAAATGTAAAAATGACAGCCATTTTTTAAAATGGCCGCCTACTATCCGAAGTGTCATGAGACAGTGTGCAAGGCTCATGAGTATTCACATATCAAATATGAACAAAATCGCTTCACTACTTTTCAAGTTATAGTAAAAACGTAAAAATGGTGGTCATTTTTCAAAATGGCCGCCTACTTCCCAAAGTGTCATTAGACAGTGTGCCATGCTTATAGTACTCACATATAAAATATGAAACATACCAAATATGAACAAAATCGCTGAACTACTTTTCAAGTTATAGTAAAAACGTAAAAATGGTGTTCATTTTTCAAAATGGCCGCCTACTACCCAAAGTGTCATTAGACAATGTGCCATGCTTATAGTATTCACATATAAAATATGAAACATACCAAATATGAACAAAATCGCTGAACTACTTTTCGAGTTATAGTAAAATACGTTAAAATGGCAGCCATTTTTCAAAATGGCCACCTTCTACCAAAAGTGTCATTAGACAATGTGACATGCTTATAGTATTCACATACCAAATATGAACAAAATTGCTTCCCTACTTTTCGAGTTATTGTAAAATACGTTAAAATGGCGGCCATTTTTCAAAATGGCCGCCTTCTACCAAAAGTGTCATAGGACAGTGTGCCATGCTTATAGTATTCACATACCAAATATGAACAAAATCGATCCACTACTTTTTGAGTTACAGCAAAAATTGTAAAATAACGAGTAAAGGCCGCCATTTTTCAAGATGGCTGCCATGTGCTTTTTTAATATCTACATTTGTAGCTTTATTAATGTCCTTTATAATTTTTTTACACTTAAAACATATTGCTATTACAGTTTTACATATTGTACCTAAATTACTGTAAAATCGGCACTAAAATGGCCGCCATTTTGAAATGAGCGGCCATTTTTAAAATCGGCTTTCGAGCAGAACTTCTACCCCCATAGGGTATATGTGTACAAAATATGAACAAAATCGGGCCAACGGTATTTGAGTTATTGCCCGGACGGACGGACGGACGGACGGACGGACGGATGGACGGAGGCGTTCCCTATATCCCTCCGAACTTCGTTCGATGGGATAAAAATTGAAAATGAACCAAAGAAGTTCACCCCAGCTCCAAAATATAATTAAACACTTCATACTCAAGTGAGATTTTTTACATTAAAATGTATTTCCTTTTCAAAATCAATGTAAACAAACAAAACTCTACCCCTCTATAATTGATCATTTTAATTAAAATTGATATGCAGTACTGACAATGTCCATGTCAACTGACACATTTTCTAAATTTTGACACAGCAAAATACAGATACAGATTTGGTGGGCTCACATAATGAAAATCTACTCTAATTCCTTTATTCACATGTTACCAACAGAGTTTGGTAAGTTAATACTGTATTCAAAAGGATACTGTGCCACTGATTAACAACCATCAGCTCAAAGAGCAACACAAATGACTTGAGAATATCATTAAAGTTGTTCTTGCAGTAGTGCTTGTTGAAGAATTCTGTTCCATTCAGCTTAGCATCGCCGCAGAACTGTTGTTCAGGCTTAAGGTTATTATAGCCATAGAACCTGATTCTACCACCGAACGACTCCATTCCAATAATGGCATAAAAGTAGTATAAAACCTAGAATGCAAACATTCATAATGCATAATGTAAAGTGTACTTACTGTGTAATCAATTGAGCATGACATACCGAAAAAATGTGCATCTCTGGATAATATAACTGATTCAGAATTCAGATCAAACAAAATGACAAAAAATGCATGTACTGAAGACAAAGAGTACACAAATAAATCAAAATCACAATAGACTAGTCTGACATAAAAGCATTCAAAAAATGTTAACTATACATCTATCTCAGAAAGCATAAATAGCACTGATAGCAGATGTGTACATTATGCGTCTAGAATGCGAGAATATCATATGAGCAAAATTAATCGATAGAAAAGATAAAGTGTAAGAATTACATTTAACACAAATTACAAATATCTTAGTATGAGTAATAATATTTTAATACAAGTTTACTAAAAGTACTTATTAAATGACTTATTAAACAAATGAAAAAAGTTTAAGATAAGAAAATAGAAAGCAGGAAAGCTTACAAATATGACACCCCCATATGTGATTATAGAAGGTCCTATGTTCATAATGGTGGTAATGATCACCTTAAATCTAACAACAAAGCAAACATCTATAATTAATGGAAGGGACAAGTCAATATTTCAATGTTGTTTCAAACCGTATATACAACTAATTACATTTCAGACTGACCCCCCCTACATCCCAAAAAGTGAGTTAACACTAATTCATTTCTCTCAAATTAAAAGTTGCTTCCTGTGAATCATTTTTCCCAAAATATAATGGACCTTTAACCCTTTTCCCAAAATTTAACAAATTGTATTTGTCGATGTACCGTGAAATATTGACCTTGTCCCTCAAGCCCTGGTATATCCCCCTCCTCAACTAATATACACCCCTACATTCTTTGGAGACACATATATAATTGGAGGAGGGTGAACAAAGGCTATGTCATGTGTAAGACTAAATGTAACATATAACATCTCTAAACCTATACTTTTTGAATGCTGCTTGGAAAAATAACTTCATAATAACATGATAATCATGATAACATGAGAGTCAATGGGATGACTTCGACTGAACAAAGTGTTCACAATATATGAAAATATTCACTTATATAGGTTTGGTTTTAAAAAACATAATACATATGATCCACATTCTACATCTACATGCATGTTAGTCAAAGTTTAGAGTCACATTAAAGCTACACTTCTAGCATGAAGACCTCGTCTTAATTCATCAACTCAACTGTCCTATTTCTGAGGAACCATGTACTTTTCTTTTGAAATCTTTTGAAAAAAGAAAAAATCTTGCTTCATCTATTTTCATCCGTAACAAATTGGAAGAAATCCTGGTCAGATAGACATCTAACCTTATAGTATACTCGAAATGTTTAAAATGAAAAGACAAAGGTCTTCATGCAAGAATACAAAATTCAAATGTAATAGAAATTCAGAACAAACAGTAATAAAAAATGACAAAATAAGCTTTACAGATATATTTGCCCATAATTAAATATATCATAATAACATCAATTTTGAATATAGATGTAAGGCCTTTGGTAGATTCTATTTATAAGATGCAAAATCTGTCTAACAGATACATGTATATGTGTTACTATGAGCAATTGTATGTACACGTACACGTAATGGCAAAATGTAAACAAAAATTTAAACCTTTACATATATATCCTCCTTTTAAATATATGATGGGCACTTTAATTAGGCATAAGCAAAATATATCTACACTAAATACAATAAATACAAAAATGAAGCAAAAGTCTAACTAAGTTTCTGGATTGGACTAACCTCTCTATTGCACCCATGATCCTAATAAGACGTAACACTCGTAGAATCAACACATAGTCTATCTCCTTATCTGAAATACAGAGTCATTTTTAGTGACATAGAACTGATCAATTTGTGTTGATAATGAAAATGTTTGTACATTAAAAAGTAACAAGGCACGCAAAATGTTGCTACCTGCCATTGTTACAGACACCAACAAGAAAATGGCAAACACCAACCACTAAATGCCAAACACCAACTAACAAATGCCAAACACTGTCACATAAATGTAAAAATTCCATCAAGTTATTCACCCAACAACTTGACATTTTCTTGATATTATGCTGATAAGAAGGGAAACCCATACCAAGATCATGTAAAATGTTAAACAGACTATAAATTCAGTCTAGCCTAACAAACACCATTCAGTCATTCATTCAATCATTCAGCTCACTGTACATTACAGCATTTAGTGTCTTAACACTTGGAACACAAGGAGCAGAATGATGAAAAAGCAAATTGTGTTCACCCTGATGATTGTGATATCATCTATACATTGTGATATACTTGATATGACATATACTTTGAATGAAGATGCAGTCTATATAGCTTCTTTGATGAAATTCAATCTGACAAATGTGGTGAATGGAACATTTGAGGATGCACCATAGTAAGTACATAATAGAGTTGAGCAGTTTCTAACCATAAATAGGTTTATAACACTTTTCCATAAATATGTGTTTCATTCTTTCCTTAAGAGAAGTCATCATAAAAAATACTTTTTCAATTATTATTGCATGAATAGAGATTGTACTAAGAGATGAAAGTCTCACTTAAGTCAACAAACAATTGATAGTTTTTCTTTGGAAATGGCTCTAGGCTTCATGAAATATCAAGTGTGAAAGTGCATTCACTTCAATAGTATGAACATAAGTCCAATATTTCTTTTTTTTAGTTTTTACTCAAATAACTTGGAAATATCCGAACATGTTGGAACACACATCGACGCCCCTGTAAATTTTGCACCTACGGGTAAAATGGTACATGAACTAACACTGCCAGAGCTCCATGGTCCAGCTGTTGTTATAGACATTCGTAAAAAGGCAGAAAAAGACCCCAATGCATTATTAGACACTGAAGACATACATGCATGGGAGCATAAATTTGGTGAAATTCCCAAAGGAGCTGTAATTGTACTGTATTCAGGATGGGGTCAATATTGGGGTAATGCAGATGCATATGTTGGACCTAACAGAACTGATGATGGAAGACTGGGTTTTTGGTCCCCTGGTTTAAATCCTGATACTGTCTACTGGTTGTTAAAACACAGAAATGTGAAAGGGTTTGTTGTGGATGGAGTAAGCTGTGAAAGTGGGAAAAACAAAGGGACATACATAGCCCATCGTGCCATGTTGGAAAATGATAAATGGTGTGTTGAGAATGCAGCTAATGTTGACAAACTCCCTCAACAAGGAAGTGAAATATATGTTATGCCAGTAAAGATCGAGAATGGAGGTGGGGGTCCTGTGAGAATGTTCGCAATCTGGAATGAGGTGGCACCATGGCATAATGATAATGGGGCAAATGAAGGTGCTATAATCAGTTTGGGGCTGTTACTTGGCCATTTCCTCAGTTTGTACTTGATTTAATAATACTCAAAAGTTATTTCTGTACCTGTTATGATTTGTACTGTAAAAAATGTTAATTTTAAGCTTCGTTTAAAATATGTTAAATTTGCTAAAATTCGATTTGCTGATGGTTCAATCCTTAACTTTTCCACACATACATATAATAAACAATATATTTATCATAACACAAAAAAAAAATTGTCAATTTATCATGACGCAAATACTAGCAATTCCATTTTGTAAAAATTGTGCATCCATGAATGAACATGTTTTACAATTTTACTATTATGGTGTGTTGTTTACAAGTGAAGATACTAGTACATGCATGTTAAGGTTACTACAGAAAGTCATCATACTCTAGACAAAAGGACAAATGGGTTATAAAACAAGCTAAAACATAACAATAAAGAACAATAACTGCCCGGAGGAGTAACTGTTCTGATAACTAAAGTTGAAGTATCAAATATGAATGAGAAAAGAGTCGTCAATTTGCTTAATAGGTTAAGGTCACAATTTCAACATTTCCATTTACAATGTGCATAGTTCTGTATATGTACCTGAATAGACAGTGAACAATGTTTTATGTTCACTCACATTAAAATACTTTTGAAAACTACAACCCTTGAAGTTTGTGCATGCATACTTGTTAGTTGAAGCACAGGATTTAAATCCTACCCTGGAAAGGATTAATGTGAAAAAGTCCACCTCATTGGGACTGAAGCACCAGCCCTTTAATAATAATAAACATGCATTATTCACTCTACTATACCTCGCATTGGGTGTTCATGAGCAACCCTTTGGCTTATTAGTAATGATTATGTTATTTGTTTTTATGTGTCTGTTCCTTATGAATGGTTTATTGGATGACGTTAGCTGTAATAAGGTACTTTCAAAAATATACTAAACAATCCAATTGGACAAACAGAGTATTTTATGCATTTCTAGGGGTTACGTATAGTAGAGTGTTATTGCTTCACTCTTGTCAGTCTGGTTTAAAGTTAATTCACAGTGCAATGAAACCTGTAAAGTGGAACACCTCTGTTAGTGGAACACTTTTCAGAGTCCCAAGACCAACTGACTTAGTGATAAATGAAGTTATATAATTGGAACACATCCTAAGTGGAACAGTTTTTAGAAGCACCATATGTGTTCCACTTAGACAGGTTTTACTGTATAAGATTCCTTCCCCAGTGAAAAAATAGCAGACACCAGGTGGAATACAAGTGAAATGGTTCAGACAGCTAAGATGTACAGTAGTACTACGACCTACATCCTGTTAATTCTGTATCTTTTCAACTAAACTGGTCTGAACTAGAGCATTCACATGCGATGTCTTACCCCAGGAGAACCCTTCATTGTCCCAGTACTCTAATACAGATAAATAAGTCAGATTGCAATCGATTTAAAGTAATGTCATGGGTCTTTGGCTAACATAGGGAGGCACTGGTAGCCATTAAGAAATTGCGTAAAAAATTTGCCAAAATCACTCTTAAGGTGCTATGGAAGTTAACAGAAAATGACAAAACAGGAAGTGACAAATTTTTTTGCATTTTTAGACATTTTTTGAACAAAGATAACAGAGTTCTGTTTTGACCTCCAGTCAATTCAACTCGTTTAAAATACCATTTACAGGTCCAGGATCACAATGTTCATAGCCAGAATGACCCTAAACATGAAGAAATAAACTTTTCAGCCCTCTGAAAATGTGACTGAAAAATAGCTAAAAGACAGAGGTAGGAAAGGTCACTGAACAGAATCTTTCGAATTTTTCAGAAAATGTGCCTAATATATTGCTCTAAATGACACAATCTTTGAAAATTTGATATCAATGAAAAAACTGATTTGAAAAGCGATCTATTTTCCTTTTTATGACCGCCATTTTTGTTTCAGACAATTTTCTAAAATTTCAAAGATTGTATCAGTTAGAGCATTATATTGGGCACATTTTCTGGAAAATTCAAAAGATTCTGTTCAGTGACCTTCCCTGCCTTCCTACTTTAGCTTTTTTTCAGTCACACTTTCAAAGGGTTAAAAAGGTTATTTCATCATGTTTAGGGTCATTCTGACCATGCACATTGTGATCCTGGTCATGTAAATGATATGTGGAAATAGTTAAATTGACTGGAGGTCAAACCAGAACTCTGTTATCTTTGCTCAAAAAATGTCTCAAAATGCAAAATTTTTTATCACTTCCTGTTTCGTCATTTCCTGTTAACTTCCATAGCACCTTAAATATCATTACTATTTAAACTTGAAAACATATAAACTGAAGCAAATCAATGCATAGTAATAATGGTATTCTGCATTGCAGCTTGGTGTATAAGTGTAACATAATCCAGAGGGGCACTAATTTCTAAAACAAAACTGAAATGAATGTCAGACTAGTGAAGGTGTTCTTACCATAGGGAAAAGTAGTGCATGAAGTAAACTCACTCCAGTACTCTTTATATTTATAAACTTACTATACTTTTACCTTGGCCTATGATTCTTACACTTTTTATAACACCAAGGATCAACAGAAAACGAAGACATGATGTCTTCGTTTCAGTATGGCCGATCCTGTTTCCAGTTGATTTCCAGTGTATAAGAAACATTTGTTAGGCGAAGAAAACATTCTGAATGTGTGTTTTAAAAACTAAACATATCTGTATATGTGTATTGTTGTAATACCACTTCCAAATTTTGAATGATATTCTAAAATAAGAATGTCTGTTTGGACTATGTTGCGCTTATACACCATATGCATATCTTTTTCTAATTCTAATAATTTGATTTTATAGAAACTTTGCTGCACTAAATTTAAGCATAGGATGATTGCATCTAGTTAAATGACAGCATTTTTCTTAAATTATTTAATAATTCCCATAATTTAAACCATTATTCTGTTACCTTCTTTCTGGATGGCTTCTATAATTGTACCTATAAGAGCAGCTCCAACCACAATAAAATCAAATCTGGAAATAGCAATAAAACCAGATTACCATCAATGACATTCAATTTCAATTCAATTCAATTCAATTTTTATTTATTTCATAATTCTTATATAATATACACTATAAAAACAAGCCGCTTGTTTTTTCAAGGTGGACATTTCTACTGGAAACAAAACTTATAAAAAGAGGATAAAAAGAAGATAGTTTGACAGATTTTTCATAATATTAAGACCAATATCAACAAAATGGGTACTAGACTCATATCAACCAAAATAACCTGAAGTTGGTCCTGGTCTAAGGATACTGTTTCTAAAATAAAACATAACATGTCATGGTAGACTTAATTTCATCCTAAGCCAAAGTAGAGGCAAAAAATGTTAAATGATGGGTTAGATGATCACTCATGCATTCATGTAAACTTAGCCTTAAAGTATAGAAATCTTTCAGATGGTCACTTTGTGACAGACAGCCTACATGTATATGAAAATGTCAATTTTCTTAAAAATACAAACTATCTTTTAAAATGAGACTCACAAAGGGCCAAATTTTAGGCAAAACTTTTGGGGCCACCCAAGCATCCTAGGTAGATCCATTAATGTACTTACATGTTCCAGAAGTCTGAGAAGAACTGCTTGGGCCCATATGCATACAATTTCAGTACAATCTCAAGTGTGAAGAGAGGCAGGAAGAAGTAGAGCTCCAGCACATCCCATTTGAAGCCCATACAAATAGCATTCACAAGAATCATAAAGTCAAAGAAATACATGAAGAACCTGAAAACAAAGGTGGCAAATGTCAACATATTGCATTCACAATCAAACCAAATGCTATGTACATTACCAGCTTTTGAATCAGAACTTTCAAAATATGAAACCTCAAAATGGTGTTCGACTTCATTCATTTTCAATTCAAGTCAATGTATTAGCTTAAAATTCATCTTCCATTATTTCAATAACTACATGAAAAAGACACCTCAGAGGGCTATATATATGGTGTTTTTCTTACAAAGGTTCATTCTACATTAAGTAAATGGGTAATAGGACTCAAAAACATGGAGGTGTTTCACTTTACAGGTTTTACTGTGTAATGTAATACGAGACAAACTCAAGACTGTCAAAGTAAATTGAGCAGTAAATCCAGAAAAATGCATCAACCATAAAACCACTGTTTTGTGTCAAATTCTTACTAACTACAGTATGTTAAATTTTTCATGTCTAAATAAACCTAGGACAAATGCACTACAGGTAGGATATTCCAGTAAAATAACTGATCGTGAGTTATGACCTACCTATGATGTATTGCCTTCTTAATGAACTCACTGGGAGTTGACATGTAACATGGAGCACAGTGAGTCTCCATCAATGTCATTCTGTCTCTCACTTCTGTCAGCTCAACATTCAACAGGTCAACCAGGTTGAGGAAATCTCTTTTTTCTGAAAATATGTGTAAATTATTGTTATCTTTGTTGATATTTTGGAGGTTTTTCTAACATTGCTCATTAACAATTATATATGGTTTTTGGAAGATATAGATATATTATAGATACCACTGCTCTCTTGACAGAATTATACACAATTTTGTAAGTTTCTAAGTACATGTAGTAAGATATGAAAATAAAACATTTTTGAATGTTATTATATGTCTATCAAACATTACATGTATATGTATTTTAAAGGATTTCACCTATATCTGTGTCTCCATTTGTATCCAACACCATGAGGAGGAGGTCCAGTTGTGCCTGGCTTCTGTTTGGACAAATTATCCTCATCAGGTCATCCCATCTATCTTTGGGAATCACAAACTGACCATTCTTCCAGATTTTTAAAATATCAAATGCTCTTCGTAAAAGTCTCCTTTTTAGAAAAACACTTAGTTTCACCTCTCCCTTAAAAAATATTGATACAATGAAAGTTACAAAATAGGATAGAATTGCATGTTAATGTAAAAATATAATACAATAGGCTATAATATGCTATAAGAACATTATTTATAAGTTCAAATAGATGAAGAATGATGGTGAACAACAATTAACAGTTAAACCTGTCTTAGAGAACGCATCTCTATGTAGTGAACATATGTCACTCGTGAGCACCATTTTTCAGAACACACTTTATTGACTTGGTATAAAACTAACTGAGATGAGCACATGCATACAATGAACACTCAATGGCTGCAAAGTGGACATTATACACCTATTCTACCTACATTTATCCTTGTCAAAGTTAAGTACCTTTAGATGTCTCTTGTAGTTGTTATAGATGACGGCAAGTACAATACTCATGAATATGTACAGGCAGATAATTGTGTAGATGACAAAGAACAGAGCAAACCAACTGCTGTTCTCATATGCAGGCATCCTAACAAACAAACACATAAACAAGACATTAACATGCAAATCTCACCACCTGCCATTTGTTACAGACATTGACTGCCAAACGCCAGATGCTGAATGCCAACTGCCATTGCAAAACATGGAGACCATAACAATATGTCATCACCAAAATCATTTAATGAGTATAGTACACAGTACATATGAACAACTCAGCTGATTCTGACGGAGATGCCAATAAACTTAAAGTAGTACAGCTAAAATTTTTATTATTTCATAGGTTTAATGCATAGGTTTAATGCATACTAGACTGCTTTCCTTGAGCCTCTATACAATGACAACTTAAGTCATCACTGTTGCAACATTGGTTTATTTATGCACAATCATCATAGTCGTCTACTTACATGACATCTGGGTTGTTTGCTGTGGTGACTAGTACATAGAGATCCCAGAATGACTCCCAATAATCACGGAAGTAAGGTTTTCCATCAGGATAAACGAGGTGTCTAGCAAATAAACATACATACGAAATAATCAAGACTTAAATAAATAAATTTTTGCTGCAATAAGTAGTTGCATAAATTTGATCTATAGTTAACTCACATTCATTTACTCTCAGTTGGAAATCTTGAAAATCACGATATTCTCTTGATATAACATGGTTTTAATTGGTCAAGACAATAATACAATTAAAGGGAAACTTGAATGGGGGAAATGAGAGAAATTATAGCCAACTTACTTTTTATCAAACATTTTAAAGGCAAGCAGGGCAAACAGTGCCACGCTGAAGATGAAGAGAATAAGGACGTTCATTATGTCAGGCAACGTGCGTCTAATGTTGCGGAATGCTCTTCTTATCTAGAAAATTAAAATTAATGAATGTACAGTAGCTTCATTTCTGATCAGTCAATATTTTTTCACAATGAACATACACATGGCATACAATGTAAGTGCCAAGTGAAAATATTTAATATAATTGTTAATTAATATGTGTACATTATAGAGCCTTTGAATATACAAATCTAGGGTAAAACCATGATCTAACATTAAAAGAAATAATACCCCTCTTTCCCCTCCAATCAAGAGCCGATATCACAATCCAGGACCAAAAACCAATACAAGGGATATATCATTTATACTCAAGTCATTTCATTATGTAGCTAAACGCAATCATTTGCAATCACTCAAGTCGTAAATCTAGATCTTCATCACAGGAATATAAGAGACATTTTACTGTGTTTTCAGTAGGTTTGTCCAAGAGTGCATCCCTGAGACTGATTGATTTTCCAAAAGTACGTCCTCAAAAAAGTGTGTCCCATAAAAAAAGGTTCACAGAATTTCACATATAACATTTTTACACTGGCTTTATTGAAAACACAGTTTTACCTGTCTACCCTCTGCAAAGTTGATGATATAGAATGCCCTGAGAGGTCTGGACCAACGTACAGGGTTTGCATTGGGGGCAAAATTCACCCAAAATAAGTAGACTACCATGTCTAATAATGTTAGCTGAAAATATACAATAGATTACATTGAAACAACAAAAGTTATATTGTATAGATATTGGAATGTTTCTTTTAAGTCCTCATGCGAAGATTGAAAACATGTTTATATCATTCATTTACTAATTGTCATGATTTTAAAAGTTATTTTAGAAATTTTTGTAAGTATTTTTGTTATTATTGTATGAACAAATGTATTTATTAAATCATTATATAAACACTATATTACTATATTTATTAGCCTTAAATTTAGCATTAGCATTCAAATGTGACCTTTAAGGATCTTTTGCATAATACACACCCCTATAAGAACAATGACCACAATGTTCTTAGAGTCCTTGAAGAACTTGCCATCTTGTAGAACCATCTTACTGTGTACAAGACGAAACACAAAGAATGCCAAGCAAACCAATTCAAGTATCATTGTTGCCTATAAATACATTACATGTATTTTAAATAACATGTCAATAAGATGGGTACAATTGGAATGTATATTTAGACATATTTTGTCTCTGAGAATAAATATCAAATACCATTCAAGCAGATGCAAGATAACTGACTACTGTCCTTTTTATAGAAAATACATGTCCATATATTACATACACTAAACAATAAAAGCAAAAATAAAATGTCTCTCAAAGAAACAATCAAGTATTGGACTTTTAGAAATTATTGAAGACTTTAAAATTAAAATGCACAGTTTCAAAGATATTTTCATGGTTAGAGTTTTAATTCTCGTATACAGTTGTATTGTCAAAAATGTACAGATTTATGATATCATTGTACATGTACATATAATGATATATACTATATAGCCAGTCCTCACCCAATAAGGCATTTCTAATCCATCAACAGCTGGTTTCTCAAAAAGTGCAAGGGCAAGATTCAGCCAGATGAAAATGAACAATCCTATCTGTAGTAGCCAATGGTTGTAAATTTCATACAAACTGAAATCATAAATTAATCAACAATCAATTGATACTCGATAGGTCACTCATCAATCATAACATTGACCAATCAATTGATTGATCACTAATCAATTGATCAATCTATAGATCACTCACCTAAATTAACTAATAGATCTAGATCACTTATGTCAATCATTTAACCAATCAAATGAGTGAATACATAATTTTTATAATATATATATATCTTTTATTGACTCTCTGATGTCATTGCAATGACATATTAGTCACTACAAACTACAATATACAAAATTAAACTAAGACTAAACTAACTACTTCATAGGAAATATACAAAGTTGTAAAATACAATTACAGCATCACAAAATGTAAAATACAAAAATGAGATAATTGTAAAATACAGATACAAAATGACAGAATTTAAAACATCAGTGTGATGTATCATTGTTACAATATTAATCCAGTTTTTTGAATGAATGATAAATGAACTTTGCTAGATGTAAAATTACATAAGAATTTTTATGAGACAAAAGCTTTTTGAAAATAAAGTTAGGACTTCCTACAAAATTAAATTGCGTAAGGGTGTCAAACAAAAGTTTTCTCTCTGTTGTATTTTTCTTACACACCATGATAAAGTGTTGTTTATCTTCTAAAATACCACACATATTACATAAACGTTCATCCAAAGGTCTTGGCTTAGGCTTCAAATGACGACCAATTTCTATATGTAATTTGTGTGAACTAAGCCTAAATCTACTTATTGCTTGTCTGTAATTTTTATTTTGTATATTTAAATAACCCTCTCTTTCAAAGACATTTTTGAATGTTATGTAAGTTCTTAAAACAGGATATTTGAAAATATCTTTCTGCCACTGAGACTTATAATTCTGATACAGTTTTTTTGTTATCATCTTGATAAAAATATAATCATCATCGATCTTTTGAGTTTCCCAATATGAGAATAAATCACATTTTTTCAAAATATCGATGATTTTGTTTGACCAAGTGCCTTTAAAACCCAGTTGGCTCATTTCACGGTCATGCGTATATGTTTTATGAAGAATGTTTCCAGGTGATAGATGAATATATATACATGAAATAAAGTGTAAACATAATCATCTACATTATCAGTTTTTTTCAAATTAGACTCCTTAAGATGTCCAAATATCCATTTTCTCAATAAAAATGTTGGATCCCTTGTCATTAATTTTGTAAAAATTTCATCAGGTAAAATACTTAATGATTACACACCTTAAATTCAAATTTTTATAAAAGTCCCAGATGTTGGATCTAGCCACCATACAAAAGCTACATATACATACTCTTTAGTTAGTTAGTATTTTATATAGATAATTAGTCAAGCTTTTTCATTTTATTTTTTTGTAAGCTGTACGATTTGCCCAAAAGTGGGATAAAGTATTATAAAGCTCGTAATACTATCACCAGGCCCGTAGCCAGGATTTGCCAAGGTGGGTTCAGTTTTCCAAAACTTCCAGGGGGGTTCACATTTGACAATTTTGGCCCATATATGGCTAAAATCACTTGAGAAGTGCTCAAAATGGTGAAAAACTGCATGATTTTGAAAGAATTTTTGGCCAGGGGGGGGGGGTTCGCCCGAACTCTGAGAACCCCCCCCCCCCTGGCTACGGGCCTGGTCACCTACCTGATGGTTTTCTGATCTGTCTTAATATCCATGTTCCTGCCATTAACTGCATCTTGTATGAAGGCAGCAGCAAGAGCAAGGTCCTACAATAGAATAAACATTTTACATATAGTATTTGTAGTTTGTATACTGTATTTGTCTTAATTTGGCAAGCGTTTTAATTTGCCATTTGGTGAATCAAAAAACCACCAAATTAAATATTTGCCAAAATCCCTAGGAATTTGACATGTTTTTACTTTGGTGCAGCAGACCCGTTAGATAGGGGGATGTGTTGAAGTGTCAGAAGGGCCTGTACAGAGCAATGATGGCCACAAATGTGTAAAATATCAGGGAGACAAAGATATGAATAAAATGCAGGGTTGCTTTTTTTGACCACTCTGTAGTATGAGATGAAGTCAATTACTTTTGCTATACAAGTGGTACATGGGATAAGGGTACATTGTAGATGTAACCTAATCACTTACAGCTCCTGCTAGTTTCACCCCCTCTTCCTTCATGTGGAATTCAATAGTGGCCTCATCTTTGTTCTTGTTGAAGCTGACTGTTTTAGGTTTGATATCTGGGACTTTGTTATTGTTAACTGCCCCATTTGAAGCACCCTCCTGTGTTGAGTCCGCCATTTCTTAATGAAGACTCAAAATGCTGTCTTTGTGAAATCTTATCTGTAAAAGCATTTGAATATTTCATATTGATCATGCCATGGGAAAGACAATGATGATACTGTTTTCTGTGCAGATTTAAGTACAGATTTGTTTGAATGGACAGAAGGAAAGACAGACAGAAGGATAAAAAAGGCTCACAGAAATTGTACAAACCAATGATACAACAATGATACATCCCCACAAAACTTCCCAAATTCCCCACACCATACATAACAACTGTATCGTACCTGGCAGAATGCTTACTCAAACTTGTTACTGGACTGTTTCAGATTTTTGTATTCTGTTGTCACTCAAGTAGAGGCGAGAAGAAACTTTTTGAAGTAAGTGATTGAATCGCTAATCTATAACTACAAGTAGCTTTCAGAAATATGATTGTAAATTTGATGACTTAAGACTAGAATCAATATATGAGTTAAGTGCAATTAATTTACAACTTCAAAAAATAAGAAATCAAAATATCATCATGCAAATATATATGGAAAAATATGTTCCTATTGTACATGAATGGCATTTGTATATCTTGGATTGCTTTTAGTTTGGCTTATAAAGTGTGTGGCCTCTTAATGGATGCTTCTCTGCCATGTTATTTTCAAGGGTTTTCGGAAAAGACCGACCCCACCGGTGTTTTCCACTGGTAGCCTCAAAACAGGGTTTGAAGAAAATGTGTAAAAGACCGACCATATCATGTAAAAGACCGAACATATTTGTAGCCTTAGAATTTTAATAATTTGATTTTGAATGTCAATCGTTGGACTAGGCAACGTTTTTTACCGATTTTGTACCTTGCAACGAATGGCAAGCAAACAAATTGGTCATGACCGTCTCCTCTCGATTAATTGTCCTGCCTTAGGTCCTAACCTATCATTAACCAACCTATCGTTTCTACAGTATCCTAATTTTTTACTGAAATTTAACAATTTCGAAACAAAAATGATTTGTTATCGTCATAGCCTACTGAATACTGAACACGATATAATGTTACATGCGTTCTCTTATCGGCGGGGATTAAAAGTGACTTACCATTTCAGTACACCATTAGAAAGCTTTTTTGTCATATCAAATGTAGTTTTTACCAGTTGACGTTTAACAACTGAGAAATCAAACATAACGTTACGCAGGCCTGTCAACTTGGGAACACCTAACATGAGTGACTTGGAAATGTTGAACACCTCCCCTCAAAATGTGGACACCTTGGTCCAAATCTGAACACCTTGATCCAAATTTTGAACACCTTGGTTTAAATTTTATTACATCTTGTCAAATTTTGAACACCTCAAATTTTTCGTACTCGCTACGCTCGGGTTTCAAACATCCATCGACGGGGGGGGGGGGGGGGGGGGGGGGGGGGGGTAGGTACGAAAAATTTCGAACGGAATGCGTGACATATACGTGATTCGCATGAAAAGTCCGAACGAAATGCGTACGTTTTTTTTCGACGTTCGTATTTTTGCTGTGTAGACGAACTTTTTTAGAAATTTTTCTACAGAAATATTTTTGCTTGACAATTACCAGGTAAAATGCGTATTTGCGTGACATTTTCTGTCATGCAAAAATAAATGGCGTGACTTCAAATTCTTCAGCAAATGCGTGACAAATACGCAAATTGCGGGACAGTTGACAGGCCTGCGTTACGACGTCAACATCGACGATGTTTGTGTCTTTTTGTTATTGCGTTTCATATGAATGAAGAATGAACTTAATGCAATGTTACGTGCGTTTTTTTCCAAATTGACTAACCAGGATGAAATTGGTCTTCTAACAACTGAAACATCACTTAAAAATATGACATTACACACCACGACGATGTAACGTTTTCATCGTGATTTGAAATGATAATTATACGTTTTTAAATCACGACCTAGTAAAGGTACTATAGTCATTGGATTCCCAATTTTAGTTTTACTTCTAATTTTGCATTTTTCATCCTTATGTAAAAGACCGTCAGCCGACCACCGACCACATGTACCCAACTGTGGAGAGTGACTGGTCGGTGGTCGATGTTTTACGAAAACCCTATTTTCAATAAGATTAACATGGCTGAAATTCTTCAAATTACAAGAGGGCACAGACTTATTGCACAAAAAACTAGAAAATTAGAAATATACAAATGTCATTCATGTACAATATGAATCTATTTTTCCATACATTATTGCACAATGGTCTCCTGATTTCTTATTTTTGGGGTTCTACTGACGCAATAAAACAGTGAAATGGACTCATCATCATCATCATAGTACACGATTCAATCATTTACTGATTACTACATCGCGGGTTAGTATGCATAGTAAAAGATAAAAACAGTGTTAGAGTAAAAGGTAAAGTTAAAATCGGTTTAAAAACAGTTACACAACAGTAAGAGTTAAGGAATGGGGTTTTGGTAGTAAGAACCCAGCGTGGTTTTAAAGCCTTCTAATGTTCCCGCTGTCACTATTGATTCTGGAAGTGAGTTCCATTCCCTGATTGTATTTGGGAAGAAAGACTGCAAAGTGACATCTTTGTTGTATCTGTGGCGGACAAAGGCTTGGCTGTTAGTTACTTGTAATCGTCTCGGTCTATTGTGGGAGGGGGGTTCAAGATATTGGTCCTTGGGAATTCCAACTAGGCTATTGTTGATTTTATAGAGCATGGTGAGCCGTTGTTGTTGTCTTCTCTGCTCCAGCGACTCCCATTGTAGCTTGGACAGCATAGCACCGACAGAGCTAACACGGTTGAAGTCATTCATGACATACCGTGCTGCTCTTCGCTGGGTCATCTCCAGAGCTTGTTTTTGGGTTGATGTGTAAGGGTCCCAGACACAGCCTGCATATTCAAGCCTTGGTCTAATCAGGGTGAAATATGCAGTCTGCTTAGTATGTTGAGGAGCTTTCCATAAATGACGTCTCAGCATGCCAAGGAGCTGGTTACTCTTGGTTATGGATTTAGCAATATGCTGGTTCCACTTAAGGTCTGCCTGCACTGTAACACCAAGATATTCTGCAGACGATACCTGTTTAAGGGCATGTCCCTGCATGTTGTAGATGGAGACAGCAGGTGTTCGTCTTCCAGTTGCCGACAGCACGGTGCACTTGTCTGGGTGGAATTGCATCAGCCATTGATTTTCCCAGGCTACTGCAGCATTAAGGTCTTCTTGTAGTAATGCTGCATCGAGTGGTGAATCAACTTGTCTGTAAATGATGCTGTCATCTGCAAAAAGCCTCAAGGTACTATGTTGCAGGACATCAGGTAAGTCGTTAATGTAAATGAGGAAGAGGATCGGACCGAGGACAGTCCCCTGGGGGACTCCTGATGTTACAGCTCTTGCTTGCAGGACTCTACCAGTGTACTGTACATGACTTATTTGGCTGACGAAATGGCCGAACACTATGAGGTAAGAATTGAAGTAGACGAAGGAAAAGTGCACAATGTTGTAAGTAGAAAGGATGTTTCGGCCTAGATCTCGATGAAGTTCAATAATTTGAACGTGGAAAAAATGAAAAAAAATTATTTGAAATGACACATCTTTTGTTTTGTTATTGAGTAAAAATCAGAATGTTGACAATGAAAATTGTTTGATGCATTAGAAAATAGTATTTAGTTTTGTTATTTATCATTAGTGATGGTTACCTTATCCTCTTTAAACATTAAAACAGCAAATATATAACAATTTTCGTCTGCATGAGAAACTCCCTCCGTCCTCCATGTTTATATCACGTGATCATAATAATAGTCTCTAATTGTTCACGTAAATTATATCATTACATCTCGCTGGACAAGCTTTCAACAGGATGATATTCGTATACTGTTCATCATTATTATTTATCAGATAGTTAAACATACATTCAGATATAGATCTTTCCATTTTGTAGGTTATTATTTGCACTACAAATTTATACGAGATTATTAGCATGGATGCCACACAGTTCGGTAAAGCGTGATGAGCAAATTTCAAGTAGGAATCCTCACGGGTAAGTTGACTAAAATACTTCATTTATATGCCTGTGTTAACACTGCAATATCAGCTTTCAGAATTTTAGAATCATACACCATATTCAAATCGTTTTTGCTGGAAAATAGAGCTACAGCGCAGATCGTTTTTAAAAATTATTGAAAAAATAAAAAATTAAGGCGACGCTATATTAAATAATACGTAAAGGCTAGAGTACCGACAATTGTCGGTACTCTAGACTCTGATGTGGTGGCACGCTAGAGGACCGACAAATAAATTGTCGGTACGGGAGATATGCTGTGTTTACACGCTAGAGGACCGACAAATATTGATTTTCGAATTTTCTGGCGCATGCGCAATGCGCGGGGGGATATTTCAGATATCATACGGATATTTTGGGAACAAGTGCAAAACCCGGGGAGGGCATTAGCCCCGGTTACCCGGGGATTACCAAACCCAGTCAAAAAATGGTAGCCCGGGAACAGGGAATGGTAGTAAACGTTGAAAACCCAATAAAAAGGAAGGGGCGTTTGCTACCCATTAGATAGAAGAAAATAGCTAGAATGTTTTTTAGAGCTTATCGTATGGTATGAGGTTCCATATCCATCCGCCAAAAGGTATATAGTCCATTTAAAAACCTGTGGTATCGTTCTAAATAACCCATAGTTGGCTTCTAGGGTACCTAGTATGCCACTATTTGGTATCAAAATAAAGAGGAGTTCAACTTTCATTTGAATTACGAAAATAGCGATGTAGGTCAAAATAGTTCCGAACGTGAGGATGTTTACTACGCGTTTGCCTGTCATATCAGAATTGAGGAAGTGGTAGCAAACGCGAGTTACAATAAACGGACGCTGATATCTCAAAAAGTAACCTGACTCCCTATAATTTGATGTAGGTCAATCGAACCCCTATATGGACAGGTGCATTTTGATGTATAACACTATGGGGGGTAAGCGTTTCATAGTTGGTCACGAACGCCATATGTGCAAAGTATTGTTATGAATTTTCGAATTTGGTGTTGGATTACGGTACTCATACCTTATAGCACAATTTTTGATGGAAGTTGCATTTGGCTCCCTTAGTTAATGGCCACGATTCCATCTCGCATGAGAGAGCTACCAAACGCAAAGTAAACAGTGATATATTCCAAATGAGATATTTCTCCTGTGCCATGGCGTAGTAAGGGTAGAGGTCGACGGGGGCGAAAGCATCCCCTCCTAATTGTATATATCGACCCATTAGATAGAACAAGAAAAGAGCTTTAAAATGTTTTTTAATTGAAGCTTGTAGGACAATTTTGATGGAAGTTGAATCAATTTTTGTCGAAATAAATTATGGCTCACTACAAGTTAATGCCTGTACGATTCCATACTGCAAAAGAAGCACTATCCCCCCTCAAAAGAAAAAAGTAGGGCTTGCCGGGATTCGAACTCGGGACCGAGTGTGTTCGAATCGTGCTCGCTAACCACTAGACTACCAGTGATGAAGTTATTTATGATATAAAAAGTAGTGAATTTATTTATGAAATTGTCGGCTCTCTAGCAAAAACACGTAGCAGCCACTTGCGTACCGACAATTGTCGGTTCTCTATCTGACACTACTAGGTGACGATAGAGTGCCGACAATTGTCGGTACCCCAGCAAATACCCCTGGACAGTCTCCAGTACCGACAATTGTCGGTCCTGGAGCCACTCCGTAAATAATAAGTACAACAAGAAAATGCAGCAAACTCCTCGAGTCGAGGTCTCCAAGTCAAAAAAATTTCTGACCCTATCATATATCTGTTGATTATCCTGTTTATTATCAATTCGAGAGCGTGGCACTGAACGAACCTATATGCCTATTAGCTGAGACTAACATAAAAGGGATTGGAAACTCTATGCGAGACTTGTGCCACCCGCGCCACGATGCCATGGTGGCGCCACTTGTATTTCAAAGCGCTCTTCAAAAAGAAGATTGACCCTTCAAATAAAGACAACTCGGGATTGATCCACAGCAAACTGGTCAAGGAAAATACTCAAAAACCTTATTTTCGTGTTTATTATCATCGTTTTTGCCCACTAGTTCGAGAAAATAATAACAAAATTATTTTGACTTCATCATGTTCCGTGGCAATGTGTAATGAGAATTATCCATTTTTGGTTGAATCCCAGAGAGCTTTTTATATAGGCCTACGTTCACAACAATCATGTTATTGTTATAAATCATTAAACTTACGATAATGTTTAAGCTAAAAAACATAATCACGTACATTATCGAGCGGAATTTTCGCTTGCCGTCAGGTTCGTTTTTACAATAGAGTTATCCATTATTCGCATTTTCGTCTAGTGCGTTATGCCGTTTTTTACCGGGAATGGATGAATTGTACAGGTTGGAAACAGGGGAAGTGATTCCTCTGACCATATAAGAGTTTACTCTCTATCTCATCAACGAGCAGCGGGGTCGTAGATAGCTAGCCTTTGCTAGGGGGGGGGGAGGGGGTTCACTTTCTAAATATTCCAGTAGGGGTTCCCTATTGACAACTTTGGCCTATTAACTTGAAAAATGCTCAAAGTGGTGAAAAAGTGCATGAATTTGAAAGAATTTTTGGCTGGGGGAGATGAGTTCGACCCATTTCCCTTGGCTGGGCAGTGTCCACATTTAGTATCAACCCCCCTCAGGGGCGGAACTGGGAACCAACAAGGGGGGTCCCAAAAAAATTTCGCGCTTTTGCGTAAAAAAAGTGGGCCCAAATTTTAGGCCCATTTTATTCAAAATTTGGACTGAAATTAAAAAATAAGGCCTTTTTGGGGCCTTGAGCCCTTTTTTGCCCAAAAATTTTTTGGGCCCTTTTTTTCTGGGCCCACCCAAGGGGGGGGGGGGTCCATATCCGCCAGTGCCCCTGGCCAAGTTTTTATCAAATTCATGCAGTTTTTCAACATTCTGAGCACTTTTTAAGTTATTCTGGGCATTATTGGGCCAAAATTCTCAAAAGTGAAGCCCCCTGGATTTAATTATTCAAAAAATGAACCCCCTGTCAGATCCTGGCTACGGGGCTGCTTTGGGATAAATAATTTTGGAGATAACCACCGCTTAAATCTGTCTGATATTTGGGCGCCAAAAAACAAAATTGGGCCCAATTTTTTTAATTTAATGCCAATCTTTTGATAATTTGGTCTTTTAATCTAAAAAAGGAGGCCAAGTAATGCTAAAAAAGGCTCACTGGATAGCACTCACACAAGACATGTACTTATCAGGGAAATCATCAATCATTTATTTCATTTTAAGACTACAATTGTCATCAAATACAACTGATACTACACTTAGATCACACTGTGAGGTGCAAGGTTGGTAGCATCAAATCTTGTACCTTCTGGAGGTGGCTTAATTAAAGTCCCTATAGAATGTAAAAAGCACATTTGCTTAGGCTGTCTTTATCAGTTTATACTCAATATATAAGATACTACATTTTTGACAAGATCTATCACATTCTTAAATAATGTTGTTTTGAAGTCCTTAGTCTGAGACTAATATACTCTAAATGTTTTATGTTAGTCTCAGTCCTTAGTATAACATTCTTGGCTACATGTTTTTAATCCACAAACATCCAATGCAGTGTATCAGGTAGATGCTGATATGAAGCTGATAGGAATGAGAGCAGAATGTGCTGTGACCTGAAAACAAATAACAGTATTAAATTTATGCAGGGTTGAAGAAAAATAAAGAAAAACATTTACAATTTTTTGTTCAACTTATTCAATATCAAGCAATTCATGATTTTTGTGTTCTTTTAAAGGATGTTCCTTGTTACTTTCTGTTTAAAAACAAAATTCCTTGTGATCACCACTTTACAAGTTTTTTTATATAATATTACTGTTTTTAGGCATTATAAGACTCAAGATTCCAAGAAATGACATTTCTGTTTGAAGTTATACATGGAGAACTAGACTAGTTAGAAATGTACCTAATTATAGTAGACCAGGACTGCAAGATGCAGCTCTAAAATATGGGCATTCCCCCGTACCAGTCTCATCCAACGTTCAAAGATGCAATCATTACTGAAAAAATAAGTTTCACCACAGCATTAGTACACATTTGATAGAAAATACATAGAAGCTCATTTTCTTTATCAATTACAAATGCAAAAAAAACATGATAAGAATGAAAAGTATTAACATTTCATGTCTTTCAACTAAATGTAGATACAGGGTGGGCTGAGGTCAGTTAAGCTATATCATTCAATAGAGACATGTCTTGCTTCTCCTAAAGACAATTACATATGATTTAATTGATGGAAATTGTGTTGAGACCATTTGAAGGGTACATATATTGCATGGTATGAAAGACACTGCATTTTCAGCAGTGATGTCTCAAGCAGAGAAAATTTGGAAATTTTTCATGACACATGCAGAATACAGATTATGACCATGACAAGCCAAAAACATTCATACATACATATTTGTATCTTTAACATTTTCACAAATAATCATTTTACCAACATCTGAATTTTTGTGGACTGAACTGCAAAAATAAAGACACTTGAATTAATAGAATTTTCAAGTATCAGTATCAGTATTTGATACTTAAGTCTTGAATGCACTTTTAATAATAAAGATGATATCTCAGTATAGTAACTGGCTTGGACATGTGGTGTCATGAGAAATAGAAAAGATATTTTAGAATATCTCAAAGGTTCTATAAAACTTGTTTTAAATTGAGGATTGTGTGTGAAGGACCTCGGCACACCTAGACCCAAGCAAGCCCAGAAGTCACAGCATTAAAAGTAAAGAGTTTCTGGACCACACTGTATAAGAATTACACAATTCACACCTGTATCAATCATGCATTGACAAATCATGTATTCTATGTTTTAACTTACTACATATCATGTGATATGTTATACATACCTCAGATTGTTTGTGTTTCAGTATCATGTAACTGCAGCAGGTCATATCATATCATATTGTAGAAAAGAGTCATAGGGCTCAATGTCAGCATGTAATGGACTCCAGGATGTTGACTCCTGCAACCATAACT